AGTACGAGTGTCTCCATTGCAAAGATGGCAACTAACACAGCAGATGTTCCAAGGGTTTTGGAAGCGGTGGTCTAAAGAGTACCTGTGCCAACTACAGCAGCGTAGCAAATGGAGACAGCCTAGCAGAAATATTCGCCTAAATGACTTGGTTCTCATTAAAGAAGATAATATGCCTTCATTACGTTGGAAACTCGGGCGAGTAATAGAAGTGTTTCCTGGAAGAGACAATAATGTCCGAGTGGTTAGACTAAAAACTGTGCACGGGGACATTAAACGTCCTATTACCAAACTGTGTCTTTTACCAGTTGAAGAACATTAACTTAAGTGTTTGTTTCATATTGAATATGTTTTATTATTATTTTCATTTCTTATTGTACTAATAATTTTATTTGTTTGTTCTAGTTTAACCCTCATAGTTAACGTTTCAATATAGTAAGATATAAGATGTTTTGCTAGAAGATTGGTAAGTGTAATATGTAATTTTATACTTTTTGAAGGTTTTTGTATGTTTTCAGTTTCTATATTTTTCATTTACTTGTTTGCATATATTGAAGATTGTATTAAGATGAATGTAATTCATCGGGGGGGGGGGGGAGGATGTTTTGGCCTCCTCGGTGATTGCGGTGATTTGTGCCCAGAGGGCGCACCGCACAAAAAGTTAGTTGCGTTACAGAACGTAAGGGAAGCGGACACGCCAAAATGTCGGGCGTATTACCGCTAATTGAGGTAATTGCATCGTATCTGTCAGGTGGCAGAAAACTAATATGATGTATCAATTCACATGCCAGGTGGCAGAATATGTCTATCATGTACATGCCAGGAGGCATAACGCTTGTAAACATGCCAGGTGGCATACGACTTGTAAATAAATTGTAAATAAATGTACAGTAAAATATCTTGGTGCAATAGATCAAGGAACACGCATCAACAACCTTCTGATCATTTGGATACGTACAAAAGGAATATTCATATTCATAATCTGTGAGAATTTGAAGCTATTTTGGAACACTGATTTTTTTTAAAAATTTCAATATTTTAAAATTTTGAAGGTATAATCTATGAAATCACGGATATGCTTTGTAAACAATCAGTAAAACTTATGTTGGAAACTCGGAATAAACTACTGTATTTGGTAACTGATTGTACAAAGACATTTTAACTAACGTTCGCACCAGATATAGCTTAATAATGATATTACTTTATATTTCCTAATGTAAATTCATCGGTGTATTATCCAAGAGGTAACTTTTTTTTTTGGAAAAATTTCAACCAAAATTGAAAGCCCATGTATAACCTGAATTTAAAATCGTCCTTTGTATATAGCTACATATTGCCAAATTTTTGAACAATTAATTGCCTAAGCTAAACTACAAGCTGAGTCGAAGATGAGTGCCTAATGCTCGTCCATTCGAAAAGGTACTAAGGCCACAAGAATCAATTACTTTAGTTATTAAAACTTTTCAGTTATTTATTTTTATGACTAAATTATTTAAAAATTGTTTTGAGTTTGTATATAAGACGACTCCCAAACTTCGAAAAAAAAAAAAAAAAATTAAACGTTCTCAGCCGAAAATTTACAGTAGTTAGATTACTTAACTATGACATGTGCGAACAAGACGTGAGCTTCCATCTGCAAAATTTCATTTCTGTAGGGCTTACCATTATCGATTTACTATGGTTTATGCTTTACTTTTTTACCGACCTTTCTATACTTCTGTACTGGCCCACAAGCGGCCGAAAGATAAAATCGCCGAAGACTGGTAGTTTGACATGGGTTTGATTCTAGAAGAAAGAGCTAGCTGAATGGGTGCTTTCGTGGTCTTCCCCCTGTGTAACGTGGATAAGAGCTAGTTTTCCTTAGAAAGTCATTCCCGAAGTCATCTCTCCCTTTAGGCAGATAGCCCTCGCATGCTTTAACATAGAAAAATAAACCAAACTGTCTGTATAACTCGGGTACTCTCGATCACATTTGATTGGAATCGGGAAAAAGAGCTCTTATCACTATTGCCCCAAATCTATGGCAAAGGCCTGCCTGCCGCATCCACGATTATTCACGGGCCTGCTGTATTAAAGGATTTCTGATAAACAATAGCAACTGTGCAATAGCTTTTCATGTTAAATAAAAAAAAAAGCTCATTAAATTTCAGGCATTTTTTCATCGTTAACACCTTTCGAAAAAAAATGGCATTCCTTTTACGGTTTAACGAACAGCAAAAACGATGCAACATTTTTGTTGCCCATCATCTAATTTTACCCCTAATTTCTCAATTTTGTCAATGTTAAACTCATAACATGTAAATCTATACCATTGTTTCAACCGAATTAATCTGGAATTAATTCTTTATAATACATCTCATATATCCCATTTCCCACAAGTATACAACAAGTATACATGGATGAAGCATACAACAGTGCCTTTCTCAAATATTCACACAAAGTGCATTACTCCAATCTTGGCTTTGAATCAAATGTTTTTATGGGGATCAGAACATGCAATGATTATGCTGAAAAAAAATAATAATGTAATAAGCTGCCATTATCTATGCCAGTGGTCGTCAACCCTTAGAACTTCGCGGACCACTATATATATAATTTTATATTTGGCAGACCACTAATATGAATTAAAAAAAAAAAACCCACCACCTCACAATTAACAATATTGATGAGGAATTTATAATATTTATTAAGAGCATTAAATTATAATACATGTAATTAATAATACATGTGTGTAATTCTAATTTTCGAAACATTTGGTGTTTAGCACCATGCCTTTATGGAAATTTAGGCTACGCTCCTGATTATGAATAACAATTAAAACACTGTTAACATCTCACTGACACACATATTTCGTTCACATTGAAAAATTATATGAAAAGTATAAAAATCTTACCTTTTTGTACAGAAAGCCTCACATTTCCATATCACTGAAAAGGAACTTCACGAAAAGCAAGAACAAACCGGCAGACGCAAAGCAATATCAATAAACTGAAAGTGTTATGCCGCCATCTTTTAATTATTGTGAACACAATAATCATCCCTTACTCAGCAATGGTGTCATCGGTCAACAGTTAGACAAAACAAAAACGGAAACTTTCAGTGATGCAATTATAAACAAGAATGCAGATGGTTCTGATAAAAATCTATCAAGTTGCCCATTGACACGGAGAAAAACTGTGTTATTAACGACTACAATAGCATATGTTTGCAATTCAAAAAGGAAAGAGAATTCCAGTTCGCGCTATTATTTATAACAGCAGCATATCCATGGATGCCAACTCTCACTTTCAAATGTCGCTAGGTACACCTACAAAAGTAACTAAAATATCACTAAATAGGAATTTCGCTAAAAGTAGTAGCTAAAATTTTTAAAAAGTATAATCCATATTCCATAATAGGTTTCCTTACTCGTCATTTTTTAAACTGAATCTTCATAAAAATATAAATAATGTCCCAATTTTTCTGCGGACTATCAAAAAGTTTTCACGGACCACCGGCTGGCGACCACTGATTTAAGCTGTCAATCGAATCTAGCATCAAAAATATTTAATAAAAGGTAATTAATTACAACACTGAATGAAGAAATCGAATATGATGATAAGGTATAAAATATTAAGTGATAACACTATTACAAGAAATAACTTGCAAATTTCATATAAAATAGAAATATGCTATTCGCTCTCGAACCGATTAAAAAAAATGATCCAGTTTAGCGGATCTTGATTCATCAAAAAAGAGCGGATTCGTCAACAAAGAGTTCACCCTCCGAAAGTTATTATAAAAAACGTGCTAGGAAAATTCGCTAGAACATATTTCGATTTAGCATAGAAAAGAATGTTTAGCTCCCCATGTTAAATGTGATTTTAATTTTTATCGTTTCCCAACTTTTTTATTTATTTATTTTTCATTCTAAAATTAAATTGTTTAATTCTGTGTAGAAAGCAGATTTACCGATTCCGTTCGTTGTATGAACAGCTCTAATCTGGTCCCATGAAAGCAGCCTTGCTTATCTCTAAAATATAAAATTCTAGCTAGAGGGGAAGGGGAGGCTCATATTTCGGAATTATTTTCACAAAATTGGGTTTTTATAGAAAAATGCTATATTGAAAGTATATAAATGTACTTTCTATGATATCAGTAATTTAAATTACTTTACGCACATCTAGCTGCTTATATTTTTATAACATCCGAAATAGTATCCGCTAATGGTTGAATGAATAAGACTACTAAACATTGGAAGCTGGATTCAAATTCAGATTCTGGTGAATGGATTGCCTGTTAGGCATTTTCGTGGTTCTCCTCACATGCAACGTGGATGTAAGTGAGGCCAATCAAATATCGAGCTGGCCCTGATATAAGGCAATTTAATTTGAAATCGCGAAAGCATCCTTTACCTTAAGTATTTTGCCCTAATCTAAGCATTCTAATCCAATCCAACACTAAAAATAATAAATAAATTACTGTCATTTTCAAGCTGAGACCGCTGATGAATAGTAGTGAAAATAACCTTATCTATCTGCTACGAATAAGCTATGTGAATACATGAATTTAAATATACTTGAAAATTAATTTTTTGATAAGCGAATAGCCACACAATTGCGGAGTAGGGAGAAAATCTCATATAGTTAATACTGTCATTATTGATTATTCTGCTAAGTTGATAAGAAATTGAGGTCGTAAATAAAGCAACTATTTTCTTAAAACTAAAGAAAGCTTTAATTTTTTTTCGAGTTAATCTGGCAATCTAATAAACAGATGATTGTCAGTGTAAGTTTGATTTCGTAGTTTTTAAAGCAGCCTAAAAAGCGCGTGAAACCTTTTCTACGAAACGACGCGAAATACGAGTGTTTATTACTCATCACTTATAAGGGGAGGAAAAAAAATAGCAGCGTTTTTCGAAATTTAATTCATCGCACAAACACGATTTTGTGCCAAATATGGCACCCTATATTACGGTAACCTTGCAACACGCGGCTGTCTGAACTCATTTTTCCTGCTGGAATTGTTTCCGTCGCTGCTGCCGATGCGAAGCAAACTCGGCGACCTGTTGCTGATAGAGGAGCGGGAGGTTAACTTTTAAAATCTGTAATAATTAACGGTATTACTTCGTGCTAGTCGAATAAGATATTCAAAGTGAATGTGCTTGTATGATCGCACGTTACAACAGTATCAGAATGGATATTCTAAAAGGAGTTGTGTTTTATCGTTCAAATACTGGGTAGCGGAGCGTGTCTTCTCTCGAAAAGTGTTTGTTTTGCTGCAGTGATATAACCACTTGTGTTGATTGCGTTGTACTGCTGCTCCTAGATACAGTATTAAGGGACTTTGTAAAAGTGAACTTATTTTGTAGTGCTTTTTTTTTCGGACAGCAACTGACATGCATAATAATAAAGGTGGTGATGAAGAAAAAACGGAGCCGAAAGAGAACGACAAATGGATGGAAAATAATGAACACGATAAAGACTCGGAATTGAACCCTAAACAGTCGCGATTGGACGACCTGAGAGGCAGAGCCAAAAAATTTGCTTCCAATAAGTACCATGTTATCATTGTGTTGTTATGTATAATATTGTTCATCCTGTTTTTAATTGTGATAATTTTATCTGTGCAGTTGGGTACCTATAAATGCCCAGAGAAAAATGAATGCAGAACTTTTGAATGTTTAAATACAGCTGCCGCTGTTGTTTCTCGATCCGATGCGTTAGTTGATCCTTGCGATGATTTCTGGGACTATAGTTGCAATGGATGGATGGCTCGAAATCCTCTACCAAAAAACCGTGGATCATATTCTGTCTCTGACCAACTGAAAGAAGAAATTTATAGTCGCGTCCGGCACATAATCGATTTGGTACCTCATGATTCTGATCCTACAAGTCATCAGTTTAAAGTGAAAAATTTCTACACATCTTGCCGTAACTTGAAGGATATTGAATATTGGGTACCAGAAAAAATAAAGCAAGCTATTCATGAAATTGGTGGATGGGCCGTTATTAACGATTCGCCTGGTGGGCACTGGAGTCGCCAGGATGTTCTCAAAAAGCTGCATGTCACGTTTGGTGTTTCTGCGTTTTTTAAATTATTGGTTGAAGCTGATGATATCGATCCAGTTCGGAATATCATCAAAGTAAGTGATTAATTTTTTTTTGGAACATTGAGCTGCATGCTTGTGTCGTAACAATTTTTAATTATATTCAAAGACGGTTCACTAATTTAGAAACCAGGTAATGCCTTCTTAATCTGATGTAGGATGTTTGGAATTGCCCCCTAAAATGCGATTCAGATCTCAAAAAAGGAGTTTTTATTGTGAACTTCTTGAATACTTGATATATATATACAGAAAGATATTTCTTTAAATAAAGCTTAATAACTATTCATCAGCATGCTTACTGTAATTTTATTAATGATTATAGTATTATTTATGTAATTTTCTGTGAATTGGATGTTTTTTCATAGCAGCCAAGTTCATGCAAGTTTTTTTTTTCTCTTTTATTAATATATAGTTTTTAAAGCTTCCTTTTTTTAAAATCAGAATCAGCCTTTCATGACTTAATATGAAGCTTTACATAATTTAAAATGAGAAAATGCTATATTTTAATATATATATATATATATATATATATAATATGTTAAATTCTCAAGATATGGGGTAGTAGTATTTTGTTAAAGTAAGGCCTTCCAACATAATAGCATCAGTGTTAGTTGTTAGTGTATTAGACTCTGAATTTGTAAGAAAATAATGGGAAATAAACTAATTCTTTTGATATGCTTATGGTTATCATATTCACATGCATTTATCATATGCATCTGCTGCAATTTTTGCATTTAAATGATTGATTCAGGTAAAAATATCCCTTGCTCAAAACAGCAGCCGATATTTCAAAACTCAGCTAAACGAAATTGCTGCAGAATCTTGCAAATAAAAAACTTTTGAAATAATGGGAAATCATTCTGATTACCATTTTGGCATATGAATTAGGTCGCCAGTGATCCTAGTTCCTTCTTTCCTGTACGTTGTCTCAAAGTGTTTTTCAATTATTAATTTTGCTGCATTTTTCTCATAAATTTCAGTTAAACCAGAACATGTATTGCTTTAGTCATTTTCTTTTTTAATATTATGGCATTTTCCTCATCTAATATTTTTATAGATTTATCTAGGAGATACACAAATTAATATTATTTTGTGTTTCATGTAAGCTTTTTAACTTTATTTGCTTGAATTTCACTGTAAAATTCCGTTATGTGTAAATTTGAATTCCCATTATAAATTACATATTAACACTATATTTTGTTGATATTTGAAAGAAAGTAAGACTTAAAAAAATATACCTGCTCATGTATTTTTCAAATTTTAAAGTTGTGTTTTTAATATAAAATAATTCTTTAATTTTATAATTATCTAATAATTTATGAACATTTCTTTTTTAGCTTGTTCCAGGTGGACTTGGCCTTCCTAGCCCCAAATACTATTTCAAACCACATGATGACATGGTAATTGTATTCATAATTTTATATATCATTTTATAATTTAAATTTGTTTCTTAGCATAAGTACATTATGGTTGTTTTAATTGATCACACATTAAAATAGTACTACAAATGAAATGAAAACTAGAAGTATGCAAGACTTATTTTTTAGCAGTTTTTGTCATATGTCATAGATAATCAGAATTTGATCTTAATTTTTCAGTTTATATTTGTTTTTCTATCTATATTACAGTTTATATTTGAAAGACATTTAAAAATTTTATGCAATTTATAGTAAAAATATCTAAACAAGCTCATATGTTTCTTTTCATAAATTTCAATTTGAGATAATATAATTGTGAAATTTGTCAGCAGAACTAGAAAAGAAAAACATTTATTTATAGTTTTTTTTTTTTTTTAATTTTTTTTTTTTTTTTTTTGGGGGGGGGGGGGGGGTCCTTTATAATTAGAAAAAACAGTTATATAGGATGATATTTAATGAAGTAAGAAAGAAAAAAGTTTAAAAAAATTTGAAGTTCATTTCTTTTTGTTTTTAAAGTCAGACAAACTACTCATTATATTCACATTTTCTTGACTTATTCATTAAAAACTTTTGTTATTGCAATAAAAATAAACTGCTGGTAAAATGTTACAAACATTTTTGCAAAAAGTTGGGTTATGAAATTTATTAGTGGTAATACGTATGGCAACTATAAGCTTCAAATTACTCATAATATAAAGCAGTGATTCTGAAGGGAATTTTAGGACTTTGCTGTATTCCTAACCCTTTTATAAGAACCATGGTATTTTTATAATTTTTTTGTAAGAAGTTTAAATAACAAAGAAAATTTTAGTTTGGAAAATCACTTGCGGACCTGTTACTGACCCCTGGAGCTTTGCATAATCATTTGATCATAGTTTATCATGGACCCTAATTTAATCCCTGGGCTAATGCATTGCTTTGAGATTGAGAGATTTGTTCTTTTCTGACTGTTTTGTTCTGTTTAAATTTTTTAGAAACTAAAATAGTGTAATCTAATGTTATGAAAATATTTGTAAATTAATTTTATTTTATACATTTTTCAGTTTGTAAGAGCTTATAAAGACTTCATTAAGAATACAATACAAGAAATGGGAGTCGCACTGCATGATGCAAACAGATTTGCGGAAGAAATTTTCCATTATGAGAAACGATTAGCTGAGGTGTGTTTTATAAAATTTTATATCTTTTAGCTAAATTATAATTTTTAGTAAATTATATCTTTTTTAATATTTAAAATTTTTTGTGTTTAAAGTGAATTAAATTATACTTTTCTTAAAATTTGTAGATAATGAGATATTAAAATTCAGGATAGATAATTTATAATTATTGGAGGTGTTAGTTAAACAGCAAGAATCAGCATAATCATTAATCTGCAGGACTAGTTTCGAAGGTTTAAACATTGACAAAAGCATATCAAACAAAAACATTTCTGCAACTGAAGAAGAAAGTTTTTTTGTTTAAACCTTTGAAACTAGTTCTGCAAATTTATGGATGTTATGCTAAATCTTGTTCCCTTAACACTTCCAATAATCATTGTTCACCATGTTATTTTAATTCAGAATAGAGAATTTATATTTTAATAACTTTTTGAAAGAGTTTTTTTTGCAGAAAATATTTTACAAATATGTAAAATAATAATAATAATAATGATGATGATGATGATGACAGTTTTCTATTAGAGGTAGATTTCATTGGATATGATTGTTAAATAGTCATATCAGAGGCCTTTTTTTATTGATTAGTTTTTATTATTCTTATAGCACATAACTACCCAGAATACGTTAATATTCTTGAGTTTCCTTTATTTCTATTAATTATTTTATTAGTTGACAGTATGGTAAAATTAAGTAATGTCATAAACAATATGGTAAAGTGAATTAATTTTAATTATAATTTTTTATTGGTTGAATTTTTACCTTTGTGTACAAATGATATTTATTGTGCTGGTTTAATTTTTACCCATTTATACAACTTGTAATTAATTTGGTACTTTTCTGTTTCACCGGCGCAAATCTCGCCAAGCAGACTTTGTTGGCGACAGCATACAGTATACACATAAAAAATGTTAGTTCTAAGAATTTTTTATTTTGAAGGCATAAACATTTTAATATGGTTTAAAATTTTTGTAAAAAGCCGATAAATAAAGACAATAAATTTATAAAAAGACATTAATTTAAGAATTTACTATGCTTTCATGGTTCAACATCTTGATTCGCCAGTTCGTATCACGTGACCCCAAGCGATCTCATCTCACGTAAATTATGCTACAAAAATCTAATTCTCTCAGTAATTATCTACATTAATTTCAAGTTAAATCTTAATTTGGAATACAAGTTTAAATGTGAGAATTATTTCAATTCGTACGAATAGAAAAACAGAATTATAGAATACAGAAATTATGTAAAACCGCAGTGCTTTACTTCGCTAGTGCATTCTCATTAGAATGGGTGAATTTAATCTTTGATTTTGCCTTTTCTATATTTTCACCATCGCGTGAGCCGTGTGATTGCATTCTAATTGACTTAATTACCGCGAATGGGCTTAGGGCATAAAATTTAACTATCTTGTAAACATTCTACGCAATTGTATGCCAGTATTGAAAGAAACAATCTATCTAATAAGAAAAGGTTGCGACTTGTTTTGAAAATGAAGCGTAAAAGGTTACCAGCAAAGATATTCCGTTTGGCATCAGTTGTACCATTATTGGCGACTTTATCGTTTGTGCCGGCAAAACGAAAAGTACCTTAATTTTAATTGCTGTATTATGTACGTGATTGCTATTGTTAAAAACTGCTTTAATATGTGTGCTATACTGAAATTAAGGATATTTATATATTAATAGCCTTTTACTGCTGAATTAAATAAAATTTTAGGTTACTCCTGATCCAGAAGTTCTGAGGAATACCAAAGATTTGTATGTTACTTTAACAGTGAATGAACTTGATCGTCTTTCCACAAGTGTAAGTATATGTTTCTGTTAATAGCTTGTGATTTTTTTTTAGAATGAAAAATTAATGCAATTATATCTGACATGACTATCAGTTTGTGTATGTAAGCACCATCAGTTTTCATCTACTCTTTTTAGTAATTTTCCTCTCCTTTTTTTTTTTTTTTTCTTATTTAACCAGATTGGTCAAATGCCATTCAACTCATTGTTTCAAAGTAGCTTCATTGATTTTCTGTCAGATTTTAGGGTGAAGATCCATGAATGTAAGGTTTAAATCATACGAGTTCTGGCTTGTGCATGTAATACTTATCATAAATGGCTCTGGTATTAATTCCAGACATTCTGCACAAAGGTTAAAATTTTGACTGCAATTTTTATCTGAGACATAATTGGTAAAAGTATATTTTAGGGTACTCCTTAGTGAAACTTGGCAAATTTTGGCATTACATGGATACTGAGTTTGTGCGATTCTTTGACTTGTTATTTTGCCTTGCGTAGCGGCAATTTTTACACTAAAAATCACTGCTACACAAAGCCAAAATAACAAGACAAAGAATTGCACAAACTTGCTATCCATATACACACTGACCTATTTTCACTTGACTTTATCCATGTACACTTTGATCTATTTTCACTTAAAAAAACATCAGAGAATTGCACATCCACATACACATCGATAAGTTTTCACTTAAAAAGTCAAAGGAGTGCCCAATTCTACAGTAGAGGCAAACAAAAAATACATAATCTCAATAAACTACATTTTAAACCAACAATGAAATAACATAAAAAAGGAAAAACCTGTTATGCATTTAAGCAATACACAAAGCAAATATCCACTTACCTTATTTAGAAATTCCTTCATCTTCAGTCTGTGGCACACAATTTCTTATCAGCATCCAAAATCTTCCTAAAATTATCTGAGCTAGAATCTATATATCAGAGTCGCCACATAAATTCACAAAAATATTGAAGTCAATTTTATCAAATTGATATTTTTGAAATGGATATTGAGTCAAAAATATCCTGCGTAGTTCCCGACTGTCCAGAAAATGGCTACTAAGTAAATCTTCATTTACACACCAGTCAATTAATAAACTTTTCTCCTTTCATTCTAAATCGTGCAGAAACTTCAAATTAACCTTACTACATTCAGCCATCCTACTGTCTAAACAATGAAACAAGCAATGTACTTTCTAACCAATGTACAACCACAAAAACCCTTACAAAACATCCCATGATTGAAAATTTCCCGAAATAATGCAACCGATTACGTCATAATAGGATTTCCATAACTGTAATGTTTGATAATAATAGAGTTTCCATAACATTCAACTACTCAGGTGACCATAAATGAAACAACAACTTCGCAATAATACAAGGGGTACCCTAAAGTCAACTCTAACCACATAATTTTCCAAACAGTTTTTTTTTTTTTTTTTTTTTGAGTACTGAAGCATTGTAAAAAAAGAATAATAAAAGTATATCCTTCTAGTTTTTTTGGAGCAAGCCAGCTATGGTTTAAAACTATGTCTGGTATTATGCTGCTGTATGTTGTCAGACACTCTCTTAAAAGTGCAAACATGTAAGTCTCAGTTTTGTTCCAGATCATGTACAGTCATGAAAGAGAACATGGATGATGTTCTATTTCTATGTTGTATGAGGAGTACACAGTTGAAAAAGTGTGAATAGGGCTGTGCAAGTTGTAATCAGAAAGGACCTCCAAATCACGTTCTAAATTCAAAGAAAAACATTGAAAATAATAAACATACCATGTATTTTAATCTGAGGGGTTCCCAAAAGCTTAGTTTGCAATCAATGTCATAAATTTGCCAACGTTTACGATATCAAACTAGCAAACTACATCTTATTGCGAATGTAAATAGATGGCAAACATACTAAAATTATATTCCCGATTCTTTACTAGAAAAGCTTTTACATTATATTTTGTCAATCATTAACTTATGTAGAAAAATTGTTACCTGCTTGGAAGTGCAGGGCATGCAAATAATGTAAAATACATTAAATCTGATTGTCTGTACATGAGCTGTTCATGTCTTTATTATTATGTTTTCTAAGAAATCACTATTTATTTCTTAATACCGACAGAACAGTGTCTTTCCTGCATGTATTTATATATATATATATACATTTACTATGAATTTAATGTAGCTAGAAATATGATATTAGATATATTTTATTCATATATTATTTATTTTTACAGATACTGTGGACAGATCTGCTTCAGAGTTATTTTCCAGGAGTTGTAGGTCCAGAAACTGAAGTGGCAGTATTATCTGAAAATTATTTTAGAGATGTATCCAGAATAATATCTTCTACTGATAACAGGTAAATGAGCATATTTTTATAGCTAAGTAGTAATTATCTAATTTTCTTCTAATACATAATTTTTCTGCATGATTTTCTCATTATAGTGTGCTGAACAATTACTACATGTGGAGATTGATGCATACATTCGTTCCACATTCCTCCTCAAAATTTAGACTTGTGGCAAATCACTTTAAACAAACCTTTGAAGGTATTTCCTTTTTATATTTATTATTAAGCATGCTCAATATAATACCGTATATACCCGCGTATAAGTCGAGATATTTTGGACAAAAAAGAGACTTCAAAGTGGGGGAGTCGACTTATATGCGGGGCCATAAAAAATTAAAAGAATCGGACGTTCAAAAATTTCTTTATATAATACAGTTGCTTTCTTCCTGCACTCAAATTGGACGACTTATCAATTAAGTCACTTACTTGAAGTAATTTCATGACTTAAATTATGTGACGAACTAATCACAGAGTTTCATACTTTAACTAGAGTACATTAATTGCTCAGTGGGTTAAAGATGCTTGGAAATGAAATATCCTCTGAAATGATTATAAAATTTTTAAAATGATAAAATCATTTAAAAATGTTGTATTAGCAACGAACTAAACGGCACAGATGATAGATGCTGCTGTTTTTGAAAGTGAAAATGATGACGAAGGCTCTAGTAGTGATTGTAACGATCCAGAGTTCGAGACTGAAAATATGTATGATGACGAGCCAATGATGACAAAAGAGTTCTATGAAATGTTTGGCGAATCTGACCATGAATCGGACGTTGAAGGATTTTGATTTTGTTTATTTACCAAGGTATTTTTTTTTTCTCAGATGATTTTGAATAAATGTAGTACTTAAAAAATTTTTTTCCGAAGTTTATCGATCGATTTCGGAAGTGGGGGGTCGACTTATACGTGGGTTTTTTATTTTCTACGAATTTTTTATGTCGAAGTGGGGGGATCGACTTATACGCGGGTATATACGGTATATGATAATATATTATTATGTATAATATTAATAAGATTTGTTAAATATATATGTTAAATGATTATATTAATGATTTGTTAAATGTATATAATATAATATAATATTAATATGATTTGTTAAATGCATATAATATTTATATGATTTGTTAAATGTATGTTAACTTGAATGATGAGAATAGACGTAAAGTAACTATCACTGTAGTAAATTAGGTATGAAATGCTGCTGAAAATCTATTCCGACATGTTTTTCTAAATTGAGCAACCCAAGAATGTTGCCACAAGCAGCAAACAAGACTTAAGTGTATAGAAGCAGTTGAATTTTTAAAAATAATTTATAAATACGCATCTCAGTATGTCAGGGGATGTAAGTAATCACTTTCTATTCTGTAAATTGTTTATTATTTTATTTATTTAGTTTGACAGATATTATTGGCAGATATATAATTTTTGTGTTTAAAGTGTATGTGTTTGTTTCTTTTTTATTTGCTGTGTTAATCGAAGTTTTTAAAAATTAATTCACTTATTGTAGCTTCTTCTGAAAGTAAAGTAAAAAATCATTAATTGACATTTCATGGATCGTATCTTGGAATAAAAAGAGTAATAGCTATTAATCATCTTTAACATAATTGTGTGCCATTTTACATACAAATGACATTGTCATATTATGCATATCATGAAATATATTTTATTAACACATTTAAGACTGCTGACGTGAATTCATGAAATATATTTTATTAACACATTCCAGACCGCTGATGTGAATTCATGTCATTTCAAATTCTGTTCCTGGTTACTGCTGATGTGCATTCACATTATTTCAAATTCTATTCCTGTTTATCACCCAATATTTATTTAACAATATAAAAAGACGCCCTTTTTTTAAACAAAAGAAAATTCTTTTAACTAAATTTTAAATTTTATTTACTATATATTTAAAACTAAACATAATAATGACACATACAAAGAAAAATTTATATTTAAATTTGTTTCTTGTCTGAAATCTAAAGATTTGTATCTGTAAGAAATTTCTGTTAGGTACATTGCATATGACTGCTGAATATTAAATTTCAGCCTCACATTTATTTCAAATAATTATAATATATCAGATAAGCCACTAAATAACTTACTTTTAATTTGAAAAAATTATAAAAACTTCCTAAGTAGGACCCCCCTTCCAAAAGACAACCTATTTCTTTTTATTTATTATATATTTTTGATTCATGCAGAAAAAATGCACACGTACAGACATAAATAAACGTCTTTAATTCTCACTACAACATCTCATGGCATTTTAATTTCGATAAAGTGTATCTTAAGAGAAAAATTACTAGAAAGTATCTTTGTCATGAATTGTAAGCTCAGTGGTTTCAATTATGGGGGGTGGATTTTTTTCTTCACGCATAAATTTTCTCCCAAATGGAGTAGTTATTGCAAAAATTGATAACTGAGAGTGTTTATCATTTTACAAGTGCAAATAAAAGTTAATCAAGTTTGTGTCTTCATATCTTTGAATAAGATTTATATGATAATATAAATTAATTACCTCCATTCATATTTTATCTGGGCATTACTGATGTTCATTTTTGGTAATGAAAGTAATGTAAAATTGAACTTCATTAAGGTGTGAAACCTCTTCTTCAACTTCTTATAATAATGCTAATTAATTTGCAAGAAACATAGCCACAGGCCATGTAAAATTGCTTCAGCGATTGCATGTTGCCTGCAGACTGCCAGTTTAAGAACTGCATTTGAGTGTTTTATATAATGGTTGCTGTACGAAAGTCCAAGTATTTAATTCTGCTTTCCTTTTTTTCAGGAGTGACAGATTTAAATCTGGAGTACCAGGACAACTGGGAATTCTGCATAGATGTGACTAGTCAATTTTTAGGTCATGCCATTGGTGCTATGTATGTGGAACATTATTTCCCCCGAAGTTCTCATGAAGAAGTAAGTGGTATTTCTAGAAACATGGCAGGTATATGAGTAAAATAAAAATTGGATAAATGAGAAATAATGAGTAGTAAATCTTACTGTTATCAAAAAAGTTTTCTTTAATGCAATCTAAGATTGCTCTGGATCTACTATTACACATACAAACTAGGTATTTAGTTGAATCCATTAGATAAAATTTGTATCTGAATGAGAACTAATTTAACTTTGGCTGGAAAGGTAGCAACTGTTCTGTGCACTAGGTATCCTGCTAAAATACTGTTTAATTTTTCAGCTCTTAATGAAAGCAAAAAGGGTGCTTTCATACTCTAGTACTATATCTACAAGAAGATATTGCTAAAAACTATATTTTAAAAATTTTTAGTTATTTATGACTTCCCCAAATAAATAAATTAATTAAAATTAAGACTATTTAATTTCACAGCTATTGTAGCTTTTGGTATTCAAAGGCCAGTAATATAAAATCCTTTTCCAAAATAAATTAATTAATTTAAATTTTAAGAAAGGTTATCTAATTTCTCAGCTATTGTAGCTTTAGGTATTCAAAGGGCAGTGATATTTAGTTGTATATGAAGCTTCTTAAAATTTTTGCATTGCTGTTGAATTTATTTATTTTCTGTTAAATATCACCAACTTCTTTTAAGTTTTCAATTTTATGAATAGTAATGCATGCATTATATATTGGTACTTCTTTATTATGGCAGCCGCCAAGATTGAATTACCAGTCAACTGAGATATCTTGTCAAAATCTGGCTACATGCCTTATACTTTGCCATGTAATCTTATATTAGCACCATGTTGCATTTTTATTTTTATATTATTCATTTTTTATGAGGTTTTCGAGTTTACATTGTGGATTTAAAATTATGTTCTTTCTCTCTCTCTCTCTCTTTTTTTTTTTTTTTTTTTTTTCTGATTATGACATTAGCAATCTTTAATTTACCAAGTAATGAGGTGGAATGAGTGTGCAAAAATGGCCGAAACATGAAACTTTATGTTAATGACGAAACCATTTGAAGGTGCAGTGTTAAAAATTGCAAAAAGAACAAGGCTGCCAGTCATTACTGCTGTTAGATTTATGTATTCTTGAGCAGAGGAGTTGATGTTCATGAAATGGTGTAATAAACAGCTTAGTATGTGTGAAAGTTCTGCAATCGACTGGAACTATTACATGCAATAAAATAACAATAATAATAATAAGGATTCTTAAAAATATTCTTAGGAAATGACATGCAAGTATTATTGTTATTATATATTGTGTTGCTTATTTTTACATTCGTGCTTCAAGAGCTTTGTAAAATTATAACTGAGATCTTTGCACAAATTTAAAATTGCCAAATATGGTTGGGGCCTATTATAATAAAGAAGTACTGATATATTAATATGTAAATTAAAATGTGATTTTAGTGTTTCTATTTAGTAAATCTATAATATTTTCAACTAAAATTGTTTTTATGGTGGTTAATTTACATTACTTATTTTTTTGCTGCTTAAATTAGGCTAATGCATATCAAGGTATGTAATTATGTCTTTTACTTCTCTACCAACTTTATTTTGTCAACATAAAAAATTTTGATTATATTCTGTATTGAATACATTTTTGAAAATCTCTGTTATGTGTCTACTTTTTTTTTTTTTAATGTTTCAGAGTGATGCCATCTTTTTTGAGATGAAGTTATATATAAATATTTTCTAATATTGTTTTCATTAAATTATATTATAAATTTATTTTTACTAGTTTAATAAATTCTTGTCTATAGTTAACACTGTTTAGATCTAATGATGATGAAATAAGATTTAAATGTTTTATAATTCATATTACATTCTGGGCAGTATATAGTTTAACTTTTGATTATAGTGATTAATTGAAGTGTAAATTGAAAAATTCAGTACATAATTATGGTCCCTTTGATTGTAAAAATTGGTGGAGGTTCCATGAAATTAGTACTATTCATAAAGGTTATATGGTTTGGTTTATTAAGGCAAAGCACACTAGGGCTATCTGCCTAAGGGGAGGGATGCTTTCATGGAGGACTTTCTAAGGAAAACTGGGTCATATACACATTACCCATTGGGAAAACCAGTAAAATGCCCATGCAGCCAGCCTGTCCACAAGATTCGAACCTCGGACCGAACTATCAGTGTTCAGTGACTTTTACCGCTTAGCTGCTGCACACCATTCATGAAGGAATAGATCTTTCTCTATTTAGTTAGATTATCAATAAATATAATTTTTTGACATAGTAAAACTTATACTTTTGCCAAACATGCTGATAGAAGTTAAGATGTTAATTTAGTTACATAATCAACAGATATTGATTATGGATATAGAAGTAATTAAAATTGACTTTAAAATTTACTAATTAATTACTTACGTAAATATGAGCTCAGGCCTTGAGATTATCTGACAAAACAAATTCATTAAAACTTGCACCAATTATTCTGGCATCAAAAATCTCTGATATAAATTAAAATAATAACAAAATAATTATTGTCTTTGTGAAATCAGTGCCACCTGCCAGGTCTTATGAATAAAAATAGGATTACATAGTTTTACAGTGTCTGATAAAACATTTTGCTGAAGCCTGATCTTTCGGTGTTTTGAGTATGTACTTTGACATTACACTTATTCATTATTGTCATAAAATAACATTATTGGACATTTTTCATTTCATGGTTGAGGGGAAATTAAGTACAGTAGAACTTCAATTATCGGAATCAATTGGGAACGGACCCTATTCAGAAAATCAAAAATTCAGATAATTGGATTTTTTTCTGAAGAAAGGGTGTACGTACACTTTTATTAATTATGTATGTACTGGATGTTGAAAATGGGAGAAAAAATATTTTTAAAGAAAATGAGGTTTTAATTAATTAAAATGAAAAGGCGACACTTTTGCATACATGTTATATAGCATACTGTACAGTACTTACAAGTGCTGAAAGTCATTGCTTGCTTAACATCTCGGTCCAAGTAAGCTGATTGATGCTCACCGTGCCTGCAGTTAAAATATTTAGCGAGCCATTACTTGCTTTAAATAATGAACAACTAAGCTTCTGAGCTAAGATCTTAGGTTTTTTCACAAAGAATCGGACCTGAAATTGGGTTTCCCATAGAATGATGCTGCAAAAATCACTTGAAAATGACATCTTCTAAAAAAAATTTTTTTTTTTGTTGCTGCATTGATTTTCTTAAAGAACTTCCATCTTTGTTTTCAAGCAGTGAAAAGTTTATAAGTGTGGGTTTGCTCCTTTTAATGTCTGAAATTGTTGTCCAACACTACGTTTCCGTCTTAATTTTTTTCCTAAGTTCTGAAAGTGATTCGGATAGTCGGAGTTCAGGTAATTGGAGTTGTACTATAGCTGAAATTCTAATATTCTTTTTTAGAAATGTTTTTCATTCCAAAAGACAGGCATGATATGATTTCTGTTTAAAATATAATGAATTTCTTGTTGTTCTATGTAGGTTCAAGTTTATTTGCATAAACTTGTTGGAGCTTTTAACATTTTAGCAAGTGACATTCCATGGTTAGAAGAATCAAGCCATGGTGCAGCTCAGTCCAAGGTAAGTTAAAAAAGATAGTGCTTTTATAAAAAGCTTTTCTTTCTTTCTTTCTTTCTTTTTTTTTTCTTTTTTTTTTTTTTTTTTTTGGGTAAAAAATTTTAAAATCTTTAAAAATCTTTTAATATAAATGCAGTAGATATTTAAGCAGGGTATATCAAAAATATTTTATATAGTGAATTGAATATATTTAGCAACTGCAGTTATTATGTACAAACATTTTGATGCAAGATGTTTGCAGCATATAAACATTTTAATTTTTACTTCTTTTTAGATAATTGATTTCAAATTGTTGTTGTGTATAGGAAGTAACATCTTTTATTATAAGTATTATTCTTTATTCATAAAATATTTTATTCATCCTGGAATATAAAGTAGTTGCAGATTCATAAAAAATATTGATTTTGCATGGAATCAAAAGAGAAATTTATTTAAATTATTATATCAAGATTCTTTGTTTTCAGAATGAGGTATATTCATTTTTCAAATTAAAATCAATTTTTAGAATTAATAATTTAGTTATTAAAAACATGTAAATCATGTAAACTAAAGCAAAATTATGTTTCATAATGCTTATGATTCTGTTGATTCAATAAAATATAACTGAATACCTGGAATATATTCTAATAAAATATCCAAATTATTTATTATGTGAAAAATTACTGGTGGAATAAAAGGAATGGTGAAATTACCAGTTCATGTCTTTTCATTAAATGGAGGTATTGGGTTATGATTTTGCTAGTTGATATTTATTGTGTATTTTGCTTTACATTGTAAATTTTAAGGGAAGAGTAATAGACTGAAGTGACAAAAGTCCTGGGATACCTCCTAATATTTTGTCTGTCCTCCTTTTGCCCGGCGAAGTGCAGCAACTCGACGTGGCATGGACTCAACAAGTCGTTGGAAGTCCCCTGCAGGAATATTGAGCCATGCTGCCTCTATAGACGTCCATAATTGTGAAAGTGTTGACGGTGCAGAGTTTTGGGCACGAACTGACCTCTCAATGATGTCCCATACATGTTTGATGGGATTTATTTCGGGCAATCTAGGTGGCCAGATCATTCACTGGAATTGTCCAGAATGTTCTTCTAACCAATCGCGAACAATTATGGCCCGGTAGCATGGTGCATTGTCATCCATAAAATTACCATCGTTGTTTGAGTACGTGAAGTCCATGAATGGCTGTAAGTGATCTCCAAGTAGCTGAAGGTATCCATTTCAAGTCAATGATCGTTCAGTTGCACCAGAGGACCGAGTCCATGCCAGCCAGACCATTATGGAACCACCACCAGCTTGAACAGTGCCTTGTTGACAACTTGGGTCCATGGCGTCGTAGGGTCTGCGCCACACTCGAACCCTACCATCAGCTCTTACCAACTGAAATTGTGACTTATCTGACCAAGCCACGGTTTTCCATTCGTTTAGGGACCAACCGATATGCTCACGAGCCCACGAAAGTCGCTGCAGGCGATGTCGTCCTGTAAGTCAAGGCACTCGAGTCGGTCTTCTGCTGGCATAACCCAAGGAAGACAAATTTCGGCGCACTGTCTTATCGGACACGTCCCTCATACGTCCCACATTGATTTCTGTGGCTATTTGATGCAGTGTTGCTTGTCTGTGAACATTGACAACTCTACGCAGACGTGGCTGGTCTCGGTCGTTAAGTGCAGGTGGCCGGTGGGATGTTATGCCTGAAATTAGATACTCTCGGCACACTCTTGACACTGTGGATCTCGGAATGTTGAATTTCCTAACGATATCCGAAATGGAATGATCCATGCGTCTAGTTCCAACTACCATTCCGCATTCAAAGTCTGTTAATTCTCGTCGTGCGGCCATAATCACGTCAAAACCTCTTCACATGAATAACTTGAACACAAGTGAAAGTGCTGCCAAAGCACTTCGCATTTATACATTTTCTACGTGATACTACTGCCATCTGTATATTTGCATATTGCTATCCCATGACTTTTGTCACTTCAGTATATATATAATTTTTATAAATAATGTTAATTAGGATGCCAGCTTGGAGTCTTGACCTTAAAGTGTTAAATAATGTATTAAAATTAAATTTCTGAGTTAAAACAGTTTATGGCATTTGAAAATGACAGCTGATTATATTTTAAAAGGAACTACTATTTCTCTGTTAGTAATTTTAATTGTTTGTATATTTTCATATAGTTTAGTTTTATATGAAGAATATTAAAAAATTTATTAAAATTTGGATACTGTTATCAGCACTGGATTCAGAAATGTATGTATGTGTTTGTGTTTGCATGTATATATGTAAGTATGAATGTATGTGTGTGTATACATATACACATATATGCACATACATACATATACACTTGCATGCATTGATACATTTCTGAATCCGTTCTCTCAATAACAGGACATTACCAAAATTTATCTAGGTTTATAACTTTGTTTTAAATATGTTAACTTATTTTTATTATTTTTACTTTAATTTGTGCGTTTAAAAGTCATGACTTTTATTCTTTTATTTATTTAGATACGTTCATTACTTTTGTTATCTGGTCATCCAGGTTTTGTACGGAATAATACATTGGCAACTTATTATAAAGAAGTAAGTAAATTGTAATTTCTTTCAATGAAAATTGAATAATTATGTGTGTTTATATTATGAGTTTAATTTACTGATTTGTTAGTTGTAATTTTTTTTATTTGTATATGTAAATAAATTCATAAAAGGCTTATGTAATGAATATGTAAATAAATGCATTAAAGGCTTACAGAATGAATAATGCTCTTTCAGTTGCGGGTTCAAGTTGATTACTTTCAGAACTTGAAAGATGGTGTATACTTCTTACACAAGAAGCAGGAGGAAATGCTTAAGAAGAATGCTGTACATGATTACAGGTTTATAATATTTATGGTTTATTTTGAAATTTGATAAGATGATAAAATATATTAACCCTTGCTCTGATTCTGTGTACGTAATTGGTTAAAATCATACACTGGTATTAAAAATTAAAGCAGGGTTTTTAAAAAAAAAAAAAAAAAAACCCTGCACAATATCTTAAAAGAATTAGGTGATTTTAATAAAATTTGTTGTAGGGATACTTTGCACTGTAAAGAATCAGCACAGCAGTAAAGTAAAGTAAAAAATTGAAATTTATATGATATGCAATTGGAAAAAAGGTATCTAAAATATGAAACAGCAGATTACTCAGGAAGAGAAGAAATTAATAAGGAATGTGTTCACTGGGTTCTCATATAATTTCAACAACAAACTGATATCATGATAAGATAACGGAGAAATATTTGTGATAATAAAACATTCTCTTTCATGAAAGCAAATTAGTAGCTGTCTAGGATTTGTAAAGAAGCTGGACTTATTGAGTTGTAGAAATAGTTTTAAAATTCGTAACAAAGGCAAAAAATCAGATAAAGGTTAACCATGATAAAGGACATGAGCTAGAATTAAGTGGGATGTGCAGTAGCTCGAAAGATTACATTCTTTTAATATTTTTCCACAGGAAAGTCTTTTTAAACATGATGTGAATATCAGTCCTGGGCCACAATACCAGCACCCTCATGTTTTAGTCTGATAAGTCAAGGTGTGATCCATAAACTGATTCTTGATATATTTTTATGTGAAAAAAGAAAACACATGATATTTCATGATTTTCATGCAACTACGCATGACAGAGAGCAGAGATTTCTTGTAGCTACTAGAGGTTAACAGGAATTGTCTGTGCTACAGCAAATTCACATGCAATTTAGTAAATTTTATAAAAATGCTTATCCTTCGGATATAAGAGAGAACAAGTAAGTGGAATGGCATCATGTTGAATGGCTGCATGCAGCTCCATGTCTTTGGTTAGTTTGTATAGAACTAATGCATTATTGTGTTCTTTGAGAAGCTTTATTGCAATTAGACTGTAGTTCATTTTTATGGATAGAATTTCTAAAACATGTTCAGGATTTCCTCGTAGAGGACAATAAAGTGACCAGCTGGGTCTGTAGATCACAGTCTTTAAAGCAGGAGTGGCCAGCTGTTATATGCATATGTATTACTGACATTTTTTCCCTTAAATATTATGTTGTGATCTACCACATCTTGACATTTAATACATTTAAACTTGTATCTAATTCAATATTGTATCTTATTAAGTGACAGTAAGGAAGAGGATATGAAATCCATATGGTTTTTTATCTGCATCTGCATGTCTTCAACGAAGCTTTCATAATTTGTTGTGTATGCAGACAAAGATAATGACAATGGATTTTTCAATATTGGAATCAGTAAATAGGGAATGATGACTTTAAACATAGACTCCAACTACTACGGATTCTCTGTAGTTTCTACGGAAATTCGTTGTAGAATTACAATTTCATTTTTAATGCCTCTTTTTCAGCATTAAATGTATCAAATTTTTTTGGCAGATCCTTTTTGATAGAAAAAGATAGATATTGTACAGAATACTTGCACAATAATTTTAACTTTCTTAAATCATGAAATCTGACCTCAAAATCTTCAGTCACTTTTTAAATATCTGTAACATATTTTTCAATATTCTAATTGCTGTTATAATGTGAGGGATCAAACATATTTGGAAAGTGATTCAAATTGTTTTGTTGAATATTTTCTATTTAAAAAATAAATTTTCTTTTGTATGCATTAGTACGCCTGATTGTTTTAGTCATGTCTTGTTTTTTCCTTGCAATTCTAAATTTAAATCGATGTAAATTCTGTACAAAATGCTAAATTGTGGATCCAAGTTTTATAAAAATTTGCATATTTTTAATCTTGCTCTTCAAGAAATATTGCTTGGCTTAGTTAATAAATCATAAAATCACAGCAGAAATTCACTTTTACTTGGCCACCTTACATCAGTATGTAATAATAATTTTTCATCAAGTTGCAGCTAGATGAGATACTGATTGAGGGATATTTTTGAATGCATTTAACAGTTTTGAAGACTATGCCTATTATTTCTTTCGTATTTAATCATTTACTTGCTAACAGTAATGGATAACCTTGAGAATACATCATCATTTTAACAAACAGTTATAAATCCATTTATGCAGCCTATCATTATTCCTGCTGTATCTGTTGTTGTTGAAATTAATATAAAAAATGGTTGTTCCAAATTAATGAGAAATGTTTAAAAAAAAGTGAATGTATCTAAACTTCTAATCCTTTCTTTCAAAGAAATCATTGCCATTAATTTTTCTTTTGATGTATAATCTATAAAAAACATATCAATAAATAAAAAAAAGGATCATGCTGTGTCACTTATTTTTGTTGATTCATCAACAAAAATGGGAAAACATGAACAATTCAATGGTTTTCACTCATTTTCTCAATCTGCTGCATTCCAGTATTTTGAGACAATTTTTGATCTCTCATTGCCTCAATAATTCCACTTTTTAATTTAAAATCATTGAAAAAGGAATCTGATATTTTTGAGAATTTTTTTTTTAATAAATCCCCTTCAGAAAATGGTTTACATTTTTTTAAATCATTGGTAAAGGAATCTGATATTATCAAGATAGTTTCTTTAAAAAATGTCTTTCTAAATTACTTTTTTTAGCAATTAGTGGCTACAGAGGCATATATTAAACAATAACATTTATGACTCATTATTGTAAAAAAATGTAATCAAGTTCCCGTTCTTCATAAACATAATATTAAGTCTTCGAATTTTGTTATTAATTAATGGGTATTAAAATGCAAAAGAAATATATATACATTTTTGTACAGACAAAGTGTTAAGAAAAATTGACATTTTCCCCCTAGAAATGCTAATATAGTTTTACTACCTGTAATACTAAAAATAGTTGTTTCCCCCTATGAGTCATTGAATTTGGTTGTTGAAATCATCTGCTGTCAGCTGCAATTGACCAAAAATCATTACATGATTGACTTGTTGGCCATTTCTGCTATAGAGTGTATCTGAAACACTTTAGGAGGGTCAGTGGAACATATTCAGCCCTCTTTTAAGATGCTCCACAAGTTAAAATACATTGTTAATGAGATTTATAGCCACAAATACATCAGAACACCTTGATGAATAGCATGAGCACTAATTAGAGTCTTACAACTGTCCAGAATAGACACAATCCTCATAAATAATCTATTTCTGGATAATCTGCTGCATAAGGTGTTTTATTTTTTTTCCAAAACCATCATAGAAATTTATTTCCATCATAGAAATTTAATCTTATGTTTTATATTACAATTTGAATTCTCATAGTATGAAGTAGCTGTGCCAAATTCTTTTCAGATCCATCTAGCACTTCCTGATCTATCATCAATTTGTCACCAACTGTTGACCAAATAGCCAGAGCTACATGATATTGGTTGTTATTGTGAATTCTGGTTCCCAACAGTTTGAATGGGCTGTGTGTATGAAGTTATGATGTGTTACGTAAATACTGACCAATTTCTATTAGGAAATCCTCTTTGAAAACATTTTTCTTTTTATGCCGATAGTTCTAATATGCTTTGTGAAATCAAATAATCCACTCCTCTCCAATTATGCCTTGAATTATTTTCTGCAAATGGCCACTGATATGTAATATTACGGCATGAATTGTTTAATAAGCATATGACATAAACTTAATAATTCCTGTGTGTATGAAGTCCTTATCAAATTCTAATTAGTTAGTTAATTTTTAGTTTTCTTAACCGAAAGTTCCTTTTTAATTCTTTATTTAAATCTTCAGTTCTTCAGTAAATTCTTTATTTTAATTCTTCAGTCCCTTTTTAATTTTAATTATTTTCTATGTGCTATTTTTATTATGAAAGAAATCTCTTCATTTTTCAAAGTTTAAAGATAAACTGATAATTTTACATGTGATGTGAATGTAGAATTTTATATTAAGAAAGTAAAATATTTATGTATAATGTTAACTTCATGGAGACTTTTTGTTGTGTTTTGAAGGAGCATAAAATTTCAAGCTTCTAAGAATGTCATATTGTTGAATAGTTTTAAAGAATAGAAGTTAAAATGTTATGTATTTATTTTACAGTTGGACAATTTACTCCCATGGAACTGAAGTTGATTATAAGTATGCTGGAAATCAATTAGGTATGAAACTTGAGTTTTTAAAATAATTATATGTGTATTATAGATTACCGTAATTTCCGGAAGAAACGCCGCGGCGTTTACGTGTTTAAAACTTAAATTTTCACCGGGTGCGGCATTTCTACTCATGCGGCATTTAGGTGCACTAAAAATAAAACATTTCCTATGATGGTCATTGTACATAGTTTGGATGGCATTGTCATTGTAAATAGACCGGTGCTGTTCCCACACAAAATACATCTCTCACAGTTGCTTTTTGTGAACATTATTTTGTTTACATTTTTTCTCTTGAACGGATCTACATGCCTTATTCACCGTAAACTGGATCTCAGAATAATAACATTCTTCCCCCTTTCAAATCAACATTCTCATCAGTTTGAATAGTCTTTCTCCTCTGCCATTGGATGAATCTTTCAGGACCCATCCTCTCCCCACCCCTGCCTTTTCTGCAATTTTTTTCAAAGGCAGACACGCAATAACGAACTCTGACGTATTTAACCTTCAGCATGAATCGATTATTCTTGGCATTCTGCCAGATACAGATCCCATCAGTTTGTGTTCAAGTACTTGTTGGATAGTTTTTAAGTAAGAAGGGAACGGAAAGTTTTTGAAAATGGCACCTAAACAGCACAGAAGCACAGAAACTGCTGCTTTTAAGCTTAATGTAATTTCACGTGCTGAACAAATTGGAAATAGAACAGCAGCTTGAGAGTTTGAAGTGGATGAGAGATGTATTCGACATTGGAGAGCTGAAAAAGAACTTCTTAAAAATATGCCTCAACAGAAATGAGTCAAAAGAAGTGGTACTGTAAGGTAGCTGAATCTAGAGGATGACCTTGCAAACTAGATAAAGGAGTAACGAGTAAAGGGAATGGCAATTTCGACTGTAAAAATTTGCTTACAAGGAAAATTTATAGCAAAACAAATGAACATAGATGATTTCAAAGGAGGGCATAGATGTAGCAGATTTATGAAAAAAAAAAAATATTTCTGTGTGTACTAGAACAACAGTCGGGCAACAATTACCAATGGACTGGCAGGATAAAAAGGCATCTTTCCTAAAATATGTGACAGATATTATTGACCAAAAAAAAAAAAAAAAAAAAACCTCCTTTGGACACAGATAATAAATATGGATGAAACGCCGTTAGCTTTCAACTCTCCTGCAAACAGAGCTGTTGATGAAACTGGTGCAAATACTGTATCTGTGCATACGACGGGGCATGAAAGAACGTCATTTACATGTGTGTTAGCTTGTTCCGCAAACGGTGACAAGCTAAAGCCGATGATCCATTTTAAACGAAAGACTATTCCGTAGGGAGATTTTCCTAATGACGTAATTATTTGTGCAAATGAGAATGGCTGGATATGCAAAACAATCTTGCATGAGTGGCTACCAAAAAAGTTTGGCAGTGTCGTAGGGGATCTTTTTTCCAACCAAAAGGGTTATTGAGAATGGATTCCATGCTTGCTCATTTACTTGAGTCAATGAAAACCAGATGTCAAAAATTGTCTAGGACCATAGCAATCATTCCTGGTGGTTTGACAAAAATCTTACAACCATTAGATTTGTCAGGTAATAAATCCTTCAAAGCTGAAGTCCGAAAGCGGTGGGAGTATTGGATGAGTGAAGGATTGCATACGTATACCAAAAGCGGTAAAATGCATAGAGCATCTTATGAAGAAGTTGCAAAGTGGATAGGAAGTGCGTGGAAATCGGTAAAAACATCGTCAGTAATAGCAGGGTTCAAAGAAGCTGAAATTATATCCTTTAGATAAAGAGACTGTAAATCAAGAGGATGAATGTGACGATCTGGAAGACTTGGACTTAGATCAGGATTTACTAAGTCTTTTTGATTCAGATAGTGAAGAATCATATTTTGATGGCTTCATATGATGTATAGTTTGCTGTAATTCCTTTTGTAAGTAAAATTTAAAATTTCCTTTTGTCATCCAAATTTAATATTTCGTTTGCAACTTTTGATAATATAGCTGAGTATTACAAATAGGACTTCTTAGTGGGTAAATATAAGTATATACGTGAACGTAAATATATTTTCAACATTTCTTACCTTTAATTTATTTTTGAGTTATGGTTTCATTTCATGCATTTTTCTTAACTGATATGTCATATATCAGGACTTAGGTTGAGATTTTGCATCTATACAGCCCACGACGATGTCATGCACAATTTAATTTATTGCGGCGTTTCTGTGTAATTTTAATTTTTTTCCCGCCATTTTTCTCAAGTGCGCCGTTTACGCTGATGCGGCCTTTCTTCCGGAAATTACGGTAGTAGATATATAAGAATGCTTGGTAAAAATTCTATTAATTAATAATGCATAAGGTATTTTATTTCATCTTAGTAATAACAGTTGATAATTTTCTTCTCTTTATGTTTAATTTTTTTAATTGTTTTTGTAACAAACAAATTTATTGAATTATTGTGTGAAAGATGTCATATATCAAATTAATCTCATTAAAAGTTTGTTGATTCTGTATTGCTATTAGGTAATAAAAATAGTGTTTTCATTTATTTACTCATTTTTATTTCCATTTGCTACAATTTCATTTTAGTGTGGTCTGGTTTTACATGCAGTATTATGACTCTGAAGTGTGTTTTGGTCACATTGTGGTTGGTGTTGATGTTCATTGGAAAATGTATTTTTGTTGTATTACAGATCTTTCTAATTCATTAGAGCTTATGAAGAAACTATGCTCTGATAGTCTTGTTGCTAAATAGCATATGGAGATAGTATGCTCGTTTTGGTGCTAAATATGTCACTTCTGTTTTGGAAGTGAAAGGAGACTATGTGGTCCAGCTTTAATATGCAGCATAACTTTTGCAAGTGCTGCATGAGTTACGTGCTGTTCTGCCTAGCTCTGATGCACTGAAGGCATATATGAAGACTAGCTTATGTACACTGCACCTAAAAAAAAGGGGGAGGGGACAGTTCTATATCTCTCGTTCTACTGGACCGATTGACGAAATTCAAATTGCGTTTTTCATGTCTCGAAGGCGCGATTTAGGATATATATAGCATTGTTCTAATACAGGTATTTTGACACAAAATTGAACTTTTTCTAAAATGACATGCCAAATTTATCCATATTTCTATTCTATGACTCAAATTATGCCTAAATATTAAATTTTGTAAAATTTGGTGCGAAATTTACAGAAAAATTCAAAAATTTATCTTGCGGTATGTTTTTTAATTTGTGCCAGGAATAATTCACTTGGTAAACTTCTTCATTTATAGCAACCTATTTTCCTTTCATTTTTTTCATTCCAGATGAGCGAAAAAAAGTTATCGTTAATACTTTCAAATAATTTTAACAAAGTGCGTAAACCACATTTGGCATTATTATCGTTTATAACAAATATGCCAAATTTCAAAATGTGGCAATATGTATGTAAATTCATATATATCTTAGAAAATTTTGAATAAAAAACTCCAATTTTTGCATCTATGCTTAGAAATACATTTACTTTAAGATGATGGTAAAAATTTTTAAGTTTTAATTCCAAATTTTTTTCAAAAAATTTATAGAAATTATTTAAAAGTACAAGTTTTAAAAATAAATTATAAAAAAATGGGCAAATTTTATTTTGAAGGAACCTAAATTTTAAAATGTGAAAGGAAGAATAAAATAAGTTTAATAAAATAGAGATATTAACAAATATATACCAAATTCAATTAACATTGAGGAGCTGAAACTTTGATAGCTAATTTTTTAAAAACTGTTCTTACGATTTTCACAAAACTTGGCAATTTGGCATAATTTGAGTTGTAGAATCGCAGTATGGAAAAAAAATTGACATGCCATTTCAGAAAAAGTTTGATTTCATGTCAAAATACCCATACTAGGAACAGTACTAGATATAAATCTAATACATAAAAGTCGCGCTTTAGAGATATGAAAAACACAATTTGAATTTCATCAATCAGACTAGTAGAACGGGAGATATAGAACTGTCTTTTTTTGGGGGGGGAGGAGGGTCATGGTGTACATTGAGAAATGTGCGAAGGAACTATAATGAAATGAGCATGTTAGCAAGAATTCTGTGTTGCTAGGACATAGCTGTCATTTTGTGGTGAAAGAAGTAATACAGCTTATCATATTCCCTCTAAAGCTGAGCACTGATGTTGATATTTTGTTTGTATGTAATATGAATGAAAGTTAGGAATTTTGTGTTTCCATCATCTAGTATTTAGCCTTTCAATTCATAGGCACTTAACTATAGTGTCTGCATGCTATAGGTTTGCAAGATACTACATATGTGCCATACCATCTTGAATGCAAGGTAGACTTTTACAAATCTATTATGTTCCTCATATATAAAATTTTAGTTAATTAATAATTCAAAATGGGAATATAAGTAATTTTAGTTCAGTATTTTAATTATATTGGACTTACTGTTCTATTATACTTATGTAAAATTTTACAATTTATTTATGATGCATGTTGCTTCTTTTTCTAGTTGTACCTGCTGGTTTATTTGAGGACCCTTTATTTGATTTTAGTGCACCATTGTAAGTATGGTTTTTTACATATAACAATTTTGTGTGTTTTTGAAGATTTAATTTCTTAAAAAAATGCAAATTCTCATTCAACAAGCAACAAGAAATGCTGCTATTTTCAGTAAATGCCTTGTGAACTATGACTTAGTGATATATGAATTATTTTTCCAGATCTGTGAAGTATGGAGTTTTAGCTGCACATATTGCTAACAAACTTGCAGAAGTGTTTGATGATAAAGGTAAGATATTCACCTCCCATGCATTTATCGCATTACTATTTATTAGATCTATTTCTGAATCTTAAAAAATAATATTTTCCTATCAAGAATTATTTAAAACATTCCATGCTGGAGACAATCAAAAACAAAGCAATTGTAGCTATAATATTTTCTAATCTAACATAGGTCAACTAACTGATCAGAGTTCTTTTAATAGCTCAGAGAAATAATAATGTTTAATCTCTTTTATGTGAAGAGATGACAGGTTATTGATGCTCATATGTATAGTATTTTTTAAGGTGAGTAGCACTGTAATACATAAGCAGCATAATCTACAATACCCATCATACAATTCTAAATGAATCTTGAATTCGATTAATTATTTAAGTAATTAATTTAATTTGTCTTATATTTGAGGCATTTTTATAAAGTATGTGGTATGTAATTTTTCCCTTGTATGAGATAAAAGAAGTATTGTAATCCCGAACAATTTTGGAGTATCCTATTTTAACGAAAATATCCATTTCAACCATTCTCGAAACTATTTGAATGATGTTTTTGCGTGACATCTGTACACACAGACAGAATAAAGGATTTTTTTTGCCAAAAAGAATTTAAAATGGATTCAGAAAAGACTTTTTGTGACGTCTGTACATATGTATATATCTTATATAACTTAAAAATTAATTTCCTCAGATTGTTGAAATTTTGTATATGGGACTGCTATAACATGTAGTTGTGAACTTCACTTTTTCGTTGCAATTGGCTGAACCAATCATATATAAATGTAAATATATTCCCACTTTGTTGCCTGGCTCAGTGAGCTTAGTTTTTTTATTCTTATATGTTGGTAAACTGAGCATTTTTTGCTATAAAAGTGATTGAATTATGTAGTTTTTATGTTCTGATTTAGTTAATCTGCATGCAAAATTTATAGAATTATCAATAATCTAAAACTTTTAACTGACGAGTTAATGTAACAAACCATGATTTGTTTATATTTGAAACACAGTAGAATAGTAAATTAAGTCAGTTTCTGCACCTTCCGTGTCTTTTTGCTGACTGGGCCAAAAATATACTTTCAATTTTGTGCACCGAAAAATCTACCTTCTTGCCCACTGGCCAGTCTGCTTGTTTTTGCATAGAAACCCTAGTTTTAATTGTAAAAATTGCTTTTTACACTGTTTTTAAATGTATTTGATGTTTTGTGTTTTTCTGCATTTTCCAATTTTTAATGAAAATGTTTTGAGTTTTTATTTATTTTTGCTTTGCCGTAAAGTGAGAACTGAAATAATTGAATGAGAATTGCATGAGAAATATGTCTGTAATGAAATTTGATGAAATAAGTGAAATGCAGCAAAAAATGTGTATAATTTAATAAGCCATACAAGGAAGTCATCTGGTGTCCACATCAGATTTTTTAATTTGTCCCAGGTTATCAAATGTCCGGGTTATCAATGTCCAGATTGTCTGTGTCCTGGAGATATCAAATGTCCGGGTTATCAATGTCCAGATTATCTATGTCCTGGAGATATCAATGTCCAGATTATCTATGTCCTGCAGATATCAATGTTCTTTTCGGAGAGAATTATTTTAGTGATTAAACCAATATTGATAATGATTCTGATACAGTAAAATAAATCAGCAAAAAACTAAATTAAATAATGCAAGAGTTTTATTGACACAAACTCCACACACACAGTCCAACACATAGTTCACAACTCAAGAGACAGACAAGACTCTCTGTTCAGTTCAAAGTTGCAGTTGAATTGCAGTCAAATCACAGAGTGAAAAATTACAAACTTAAAACAATTAAACAAACAATTAGAAAAATTACAAAAAACACTTTACAAATTAATTTGTAATATTTACAATCGAACAGTATTTTTTACTTTACAATTAATCATTACTTTATAATTTATTATTTTCTACAATTTCACACTAGCAGGCAAGCCATCTTTGAAACTGCTTCCTGCATAGTGCAGCCATCTGGTGGTAAGATAATGAAGTGAAAGTTGTTCTAACAAATTTATTTTATTGTCAGATGGTAAGATAGGTTTATATATCATTGCTTTGAAAAATGCTAAGCTTATGATAAATGTTTATTTCTGTTTTAAAAAACTAATTTATTATTTTTAGGTATAAACTATGATATGTATGGTACTCTAAAGCCTTGGATTGGCAATAATTCAGCAGTGGCTTTTAAGAACAAAAAAGATTGTCTTAAGAAAACGATAGCAAATTATACATTACATGACATACAGGTGAGCAATTATACATTTACCAATAGAAATACATGGTGAGCATTTTTTTTCCAATTACAAAATGTATTTGCTTTATAGTAAATACTGATCTTTCAAACCATAATTATAAAATGCTGTTTCACAAATGGTTATATATTCCTTCAGAACATATTCTAACTGCACCTTAAAGCAGCATTGCTCAGTTTGTAGTCATTGAAGTATGCCCTTGTGGCCCGTTCTATCTATCTATCTATCTATATGTATATATATTTACGGAGTTTATAAGTTTTCATGGAGCCACAGTTTTTGGTAACTTTTTAGCATGCTTACTAAAATTTATCTTCTAATTTCCTTAATTTTTCAGCACAATGCGCAAAATTTTGACCACATAGGTCTTTTTTCGTTTGTTCTTACAACTTAACTTTAAATTATATATATATATATATATATTATATATACATTACCATAGTTAAAAATCTAAGTTTGGAAGTTATCATGGCAAACATATAACGCCTTTTCTCCAAAGGCTGGCATTTTATGTGAGTACCAACATTGATTTAATTTTTAGTTAATAAGATAAAACAAACAACATTGTCCAAACAACTACTGGTATTATCATATGCTAAAAATTTGTTTTTAAAGGGGACTACGGCTAGGTGGTCTGAAGAAAATTCTAATGTTTAAAAGTGGTCTCCACTTAAGTTTGAGGAAGACTGCCTTAAAGGGTGCATGCTGTTTTCTTTATGTTCATAACTGTGCTCCCAAGCCAAATAAATTAACTAGGCTATTGAATTTTTATTGTTATTCATTATATAATTTTTTCATTAATAATATAAAAAGGTAACGGAGCATTATTTATATACAGGATATATAAGAAAGTGACTGCATGCTTGAATAACAGTTGAATAGTTCCAATTTAAAAAAAATTAATCATACAAGATATAATTTTCATATTATGGCATATCTGCTGATACATCTTTTATTAGAAATATGTAAAATTTAAATTTTCATATGGATCCATGAAAATGATAAAACAATGAAAAGAAATATCTTTTGGTGAAAATATGTGAACTTTAAATTTTTATACAAAGCCTTGAAATGATGAAATAATGAAAGGAAAAAGTATTTCATACATGAATTAGCAAAATGAAAAATCTTTATACCATTAAACTGCCCAAAATGTCAAATTAAAATTTTTGCGGACCATGTACTAGTATTGCTGATGGCAGTGAGGGTATTGATGTATGTAGTATGCAACCTGTCACTTCTAATCAATTATTTATTTCTTGCAAAATTTCACAGGGCTAGTTTCGATGGTTTTACCAAACCATCATTCTCAGCTGCCAAACTGCAAATGAATGAGATAAAATACATTGAAAAGATAACATAAGAATGGCTGGACAGGAGTTAAGCTACTGGCACCATCTATTGATGAAACAAAAAAACTAAAACATAATTTCCTTAAAGGCTAAAGGTAAAGATGGATTGGAATCAGGGCTATTAACTAGAACAGAAAGATTTTTTTGAATGTGAAAGGCCTCTGAAAAATCTAATTCACCAATGAAAGATGTTTTTGAATGATTTTGGCTGCAGAAAATTGGAAAAGGGGATTTTGGAACCAACAAATGCTTGGCAACAGAGGACTTCTGTGTTTCCTTTTTCATAACATATGCCTCATGTTGTTTAATGTGAAATATTAAGGCTCTGTTAGTTTGACCAAGGTAATTTAAACCACACTGGCAGGAAATCTTGTATTCCCAGGAATTCATATTCATAATGGGGTCCTTAAGTATGGAACTCGGATTTTTATTAATAGGAGAATAAACAATCCAAAAGTTAAATTTCTGTAAAATACGTATCTGACTAAACACAGATGCACTTCATGTTTGCTCCTTCAAACTGGCTCTTGATCAAGAACTGAATTATTTAAAAACAATAGCTATTGACAGGGGCTTTTTACTCAACATTCTTAACCAAGCAGTTAAAAAATTCTCATCTCAACACACCAAAAGGCACACTCTTGTTTTAAATTATAAGAATTCTGTTTTCATTCCTTTTTTTCCATCAGTTTGTATAAAATTGCACATATTTTATAAAAATTTAACTTTTGGATCTTTTATTCTCATATCAGTAAAATTCTGAGTTCCGTACTTAAGAACCTCATTTCAGATATGAATTCCTGGGGTATTTACAGAATTCCTTGCCAGTGTGGTTTAATTTACATTGGTCAAATCTAAGAGAGCTTTAAAATTTTGTGTTAAACAATATGGGAAAAGGAGGATTGCATGCATTATTGCCCAGCATTTAGTCCGAAAATCACGTTTTCGATGTTTCTGCAGCCAAAATGTTTCAAAAAACATCTTCCATTGGTGAATTAGATTTTCTAAAGGCATTTCACATTAAAAAAAAATCTTTCTGTTCTAGTTAACGACCCTAATTCCAATCCATCTTTACTTTCAGCCTTTAAGGAAACTATATTTTAGTCTTTTTGTTTCATCAATAGATGGTGCCAGTAGCTTAACTCCTGTCCAGCCATTCTTATCTTATCTTTTTACTACATCTTATCTCGTTCATTTGCACTTTGGCAGCTGAGGATGATGGTTTGGTAAAACCATCAAAATTAATCCTGTGAAAATTTGTAAATATAACGCTGATTTTTGTTCTTTGACTTCTAAATTAAAAAATACTAATAATAAAGAACATATAAATGAAAATTATTCCATTATTTAATATAAAAAACCTATTAAATATTTAATGCTGTTAAATTTAATGTCCTTTCAATTTTATGAATCAGAAGAAAAAGTAGAAGTTAATAGGGCCATTTTTATAATTTCTTCAGCTATATACATTACATATGTCGCACAGCATGACCAAAAATACTCAACACTTTTATTAATGGATAACATAGAAGCATTAGTGGTATGATAATCAAAATTTCAGTAGCTTTATAATTCAATAATAGTTTCATAAAAATAAAAAATTCAATAGCCTCTTTATTTGGACATTATATTATATAATTTTTTGTATATGATCGAATCTTTCCTATTTAAACATGTCATTCCACCTGTTGAATGGACACAGTTGCCTCAATGTTAATTTCTTTTATATTAATCAGGAATTCTCTAGTGTGTTCACTTTATGACACTGAATAAAATAAGTTTATCACTCAGAACTGCTGAATCGTTTAAGTGTCAAAAGCCAGGCATTTGTGAATAAATAAATAAATATATTCAAATATGTAATAAAATGGAAGAGAAAAGAAATTATTAAAACAACAACCAATTTTAATGGTGCATCTAAAAAATCAAAAGCTAACTAAAATCAGTAGCTTGCATACTACATCATTACCCAGCTATGTATGCAAAGTTTCTAAACACATACAGTCAAAAGTCGTTAATCCGGACTCGTCGGGACTTCGGCGATTCCGGATTACAGATCATCAGTTTAAATCTGGTAAGATGGCTTGCAGAAATTACAAAATTAAAAACATGAAACCGTAATTTATGAAATAAAGAACAATTATGATCTAAAGGGTATCAAAATTTACAAAAAGAAAAAGCTTAATATTTATTTGTTTACTTTATTAAACATTTCTTTCAATGTAAGTTGCTTCGTTACATGTGATAATACTTTCTCTTTAATTCTATTAACCCCTTAAGGCACACATTAATTTCTAATTTTCGGTCAAAAAAATCACCTATTTTTTTCTTGCATAATCATATTCTCTAGTGCATTTTAAGACATGATCGACAAATAAAAGTAATTTTTAACTAAAAATTTAATTAAAAAATCTTATTTTTTAATTTTGGAATAATTTCACTTAAAGTTGTCTTTTGTTATGCTCCCTTTGTATTAGAAAAGACAACATACAGGGGTACAAGTATAGGCTAATTTAAAAAAATATATATATATATATTATACAAACAAAGTGTAAACAATTTGATTGGTACATGTGTTTATTTTGAATTTCAAGTTATTATTAAAATCGAATTAAATCAAATTTCATACTTGCAAGCATAAGAATGACTAAAAATTCAGTTTGGTATGATATACCATGAAGCATGGTACTGCACAAAGTCCAACATTACAGTTCCTACAATAGTATCTTGTTTCTTTCCTTATCTTTTTACCCTCTCTCATCTTTTTTACTGCAAAACAAACGGCGCAATTTCTACAAGGGGCTGCCGCTTTCTTTTCTGTCGGTGGTACAAATTCAGGGAAAGTGCCTTTCAGTTAGTCTCAGAGGCCCAGGTTGGTAACCAGGCCGGACCTATTCTTTTGGGTAACACTTTTGAATGGTATTTTTCAATTAATTTTTTCCACAAGCATTTTACGGAATTCCAAATGGTCCCTGTTTTCCTCCCCCCCTTTTATTATTTTTTATTATTATTTTTTTATAGTACAAATGAATTCCATACGGATATATCCACAAGATTTGGAAAACTATTTTCTTATAGTACCTTTTTCCTTGTTTTCTTGTTGTTGGGTAATCGTGCAGATGCTGATCAAGCCGATCAACGCCTCCCATTATATTGTTGTAATCAATTACAACTTTCGGCTTCTTTATTTGAGTACCTGTCATTGGCTGTTTTACTTGTATTTTCCTGCTGTGTGTTATGGATTGTTGAAATGGTTGGGTAACAGACATCCTTTTTGTCTTTCCAGCTTCACTTCATCACCATTACTTTCCCTCTTTGAAACGCTATAACATCTCCCTTTTTCAATTTTTTATTTCTAATTTCAGATGGAACTTCTTTTCCAATACTTTTCAGAGTTCCCGTAGGTATCTGTTTGACGTTTTACTAGGAAATCCTGCTAATTGTGAAGAAGTATAAAAGTTTGTCAGTCGTCAAACAGTACCCTTTATCTAATAATGGTTCTATCAGTGACAACACTCACTTGAGTTGATACTAGCGTTTCTCAATATGCATCACTCATATTCATTCCTTTTCTGGTACATATGATGGATGAATGTAAGTAACTAGTTTTTGATTTTCAAAAAAGGTACATCTTTATTCCGAAACGAGCTCATTTCAGTGGTATATATTGCTTCCAATTTTCATTCGCCCTTTATACAGTAGTAGACTTTCGTCTACCGTGATATCTCTTTCGGTGTACATAGAGAAGAACACTTTTTATTTATATGGTCAAATACAGGCCATATCTTATTGAGCTTGGGATGGGGGTGAATCTCAGCATCGTAAGTTTCTTGTTAGAGAAGTGAAGATATCTTTTTTATCTCAGAATAGCGACAAAACTAAGGAGCTTCGGAAAAAATAGGTGATTGAAAAATTTCAACTTTGACCAATACATCCTTATTTCAGGCTTTCTAATTATACCTTGTAGTATAGTTATGGCTAAAAAATATGTATAATTCTTCCATAGTAATCGGTGACCAAAGGTTCTGTGATGATCCTGGATGTTGAAATGCATATCTGTTTGTTTCAGTTAATTATGTCCATGAGAGAGTTATCAAAAAATAATTCAAGTATGACAAAGCATCATCGTAATCTGTCAGAGTAAAACAACAGCCAGGGTTAGCTTCAATCGAAATCTCGGTGGTGCAACTTTGGTTGATTTATACTAATTTGATACAATTCCTTGCTATCCAAAATCTCGTTGTCATTATCTTCTTCCGATTCACTTCCATCACTCAAGAAATCATCACTCTCATCGCTGAAAACTGTCTGATAAATTGGCATATTCAAAATTGTCATCGTCAGAGTCGCTCATTATCAGATAACTTTTTTTAAATTACAAAAACACTTAGTAATATAATTTGCAGTTAACTGCTTACTTTTATTATATTTACATAATAAAAAATGGATATATTACTTTTCCACACCAAACGACTACTTTATAGCAAAGAAATCCTAGCAACTTATAGCTAATCATCAAAATGCGCCACGTGGTTTACACAAGAAAAATGCTGAATAGTGGTGCCATCTATGTCAAATAAGTTTAATTATAATCTAGCCTATTTGTTTTTACTGGAATGGATCTCAGACAAGCATTAGAAATAAAATAACGCGAGATACAAGGGCGCCCGTGTGAGACACGGGCATATGCAAATTTGCCGGAAACTTTCGCCCGTGTGAGACACGGGCAAATGCGTTAAGGGGTTAAACAGACATAATTTCTTGTTTAGTTACAAAGTTCCGCTGTTCAAGTCCTATAATTGCTGTGTTGAGAATACCGACTAATCTGTCAATCGAAATGTTTTCGTTTTCAATAATCTCTGGGTCACTTTCTTCACTATTGGAAGCGAATTATAATGATGAGGAACTTGATTTAAATCATATCAAAGACGGAAGGAATTATAAGCGAAATAAAATTAAAACATCTGCCCTGAAGATAAGGATAGTGCTGACAGATCAACTTCCAATCTGCGGTGTGAAATTGATAAACAGATTTCGGATTTCAAAACATACTTTCGCTTTGTAGATACATATTAGTAAATATATCTTGGAAATTCTATTTGACATAATCGAAAGTTCAAGCTTACTTTTATGAAATTGCTCTAACAGTCTGCAAAAAATAATAAGCCGGATCCAATTTGAAGATTAAGGATAAACGCAATCTGCAACATTAACTGAATTAGATAATTTTAGCTTACTCCGTTACACATTACACACGCATGCGCACAAACATATTCGCAGCCGTAAAGGTCTTATGTGCACTCGTAAACACCTGTGCGCATGCGTGAACACAACGCATGCACAGAAAGTTTGTAGCTTTGAGGTCTGGATTATAGATCATTCCAGATTATAGGTGTCCAAATTAACGACTTTTGATTGTATTTCTAAAACTTAACTTTTTGTTAGAAAAACAATTTGAAAGCACTGATTTCAAATTATCATTTGAAGAAGTAGTAAAATTTGAATTTTTGAAAATGAGATTTAGTTTCTAAACGATCTCTGAACTGATACTTCTTGGCATGCTTTTCTCTAAGGATGGGGAAATACTTTATCACAGACCATAAAGTTCTTTTTAGTGTACATAATGTGGGCTGTGACATGACAATCTTTTGCCACACCTCTATTGTTTGTAGAATGTAATTGGGGGGGGAGAGAAAAACACCCTCTCCCTCTACTGTAGGTTTTTTTCTTTTTAATTACAATTAAAAAATTACAAATATGCTGAAAATAGGATCTGTTCCCATTGGCCATCAAATGTATGTATACTGTTTCATTTTCAAATAAAAATTTAAAAGTTAAATGTTCTTTCTCTAAGCTTCATTTTAATTCAACAATATTCGTATTTCATGGTTTAATTTCTAAATTGAAGCTGTTAGCTATAACAAGTGCTTTTTTTCTGGAATTAGACTAAGGAAATGAGAAGTTATAATTTTTCACAACGTATAAAATTTCAAAAAAAAAAAAAAAAAAAAAAAAAAAATTGCAGAAAGTGACCAATGCTTTTTAATGGCATATTTCTGAAGTAAAAATATATTATGCTTTATGTTCAAGAAAGAAATGATACTTTACCCTCAGGAGAAAAATCAGAGAAAGCTATATAGCGTGCTCTAAAGAAATTGCAGAAAATAACCAACTACTTTCTGGGATTGTTTTAGAGCAGACCATATCACTAGAAACATCACTCTCTAACTCTTTAGAAAATGAATCATCACTTTCATCCATGTCACTAATTGGCTTGTTTACTATGTGAGTATATCCTTCTTCTGAAAAATAACACTGCAGTCAAGACTTTTCAAAAGTAAAAAGGGAAATACACAAAATATAAAAGCAATGCAAAGCAGAACCCCTCCCCCCCCAAAGCCTAAAAGACACATACAGGGGGGGGGAATAAAAAATTATTTGATAGGCAAATGTTTATATCACATGCAAATTAAAGAGGAGCTTTTTAATTAATAATATTTACATTATGCTTTTCCTCCCCCCCCTGCAACAGCTGACACCAACGTTATGCAGAATGTGATCAAACTGAAGGTTAGAATCCCAAAACTATATTCATTTCAAAAGTTATGGACACAGGACACCATCTAGTGGTCTTTAAAAAAATGTTTCAGCTTAAAAATGCATATATGAATCAACTGTCTCTTGTACTCATTCTCCAGTGATACATGGATGGAATGCTTGGCTGTGGGATACGTTTTTAACGAATGCTTATATGGGATGCACATCCGGAAGGGGTTAATATCATCAACATACTGAAAAGATGATTTTCCAGTTCCTATCTTTGCATTACTGTAAATGCATATACTTTGCATATTGTGATAAAATACATATTTGGTATATCTGAATTTTTCAAATAAGTGGGCATACATTATACGTTTCTCAGATGTTTGGATATTTGGAGCTGTGTTTATTGAACTGCAAATCTAAAATCCTGGAACTTTGAAAAATGTTGAATTTATAATATAATAATTATCAAATTACCCCAATTTTTTAATATACATTTATAAAAATAACATCTTAAAAAAATTTTAATATCTCCTTCCTCCCAAAAGAAGAGAAATGTTGTTAAATTGGTAAATACAATGAAGAGTTAAATATACTTATTAAAATTTATTACTTACAAATTAAAAAAATAATTAAAAAATAAAATAATGAAGAATCTGCATATATGCATGTTTCTCACATTGTGAAATAATAACAATATCTAGAGCCATCAAATTTTGAATGATGCACTGCTCCACGTGAACATGTGCACCTGGAAGCTTGAATTTTGAATTTACCATTTTTTATTTCATACTTTGTAAAACGTTAATGAATTTTTCACTAACAAACTCAACAGTTTAAAAGTGAGCAGTGGCAACACAGTTCAAAATAAAACATTTTTATCTCCAGTGTGCGAGACTGTTGCCATTTGGAAAAATGTAAGATATTTATCTTTCAGTTTTAATTAGCAAACTCAGTTTTATGAAAGCAGTGTGTTGCCGCAGCTGGAAATAAAATACTTTTATCTTCTATGCACCAGCATGTTGCCATTTAGTAAAGCCTAAGTTACTTTCAAATTTAATCTGGAAGATTATTGAGTAATGAACTCTTAACTCAATTTTTTAATATTTTTTCTACTTTTGAATGCAATTGATGTAAATGCAGATATATGAAACTCATCAGATATCCAATTAAAAATATTCAATATTTTTATGGAATGATACTAGCTGGACTCGTTGAAATCATTATGTACATTTTCTTTCTTATGATAACTGTTTTTGGTGGCTGGCTGTTTAGTGGCTAGTTTATAAAGAAATAAACAGCGAGTATTAAAATATGCATATTAACCTGTAACACTGTACTGGGAATTCTAAAGATATGCTATTTTTAAATATTTTGTGATTTTGCTGTTAATCTGAATTTTATGTGGCGTAAGTTTGAAGAACATGATATTTAGTAAGTAAAAAGTTAAAAAGAGAAAAAAAAAAGTCTTATAAGCCATCTTGCTAAGAAATATAACACTGATATGATAAACTGAAAAGAAATAAAGCTACAAAGACCAAAAAAGAAAAAAAGTGTTAGTAGGAGTTTGTGCAAAAGCAGATGGGTAGAGTGTGAGCTCAGGGAGAATGTAAAAAAACCTTCACAAACCCTTTTGGCCATCTTTTTAAATCTGAAATGGTAATGTTTGGTACATTCTGTCTTAAGAAATATTATATAATCTTTACCTAAATTTTGTTTGGAAAGTGAAATATTATTTTCAAGGTCCTAAATTAAAAAAAAAACTAACATATCTAAGATAGTGTTAAAAAAATCAGGATAAAGAAATAATATTGTTTGAATAGTTTGTGTTGAAATACACCATGACAAATTACATGGAAATATATATTTTACTTTTAACAGACTGAGCCAGAATTAACTGTTGGATCTGTCATAGCAGATATTGGTGGAGTGAAAATAGCATACGAGGTATGTATATTTCAGTATATAACGAAATGCAAAATAGTTATACATGTGTTATTTGTTGTGAAAGTATCAGGATCATAAATATGCTAGATAGTTTAAAAAGGTTCCTTATTTTGAAATAATCATCTCTTTGAAGCTGCACTTTAATTAAATCAAACATGATACTTAAAATGACTGTGTTCATTTTTGCAGAAGCACAATTTGTATATTTGTAAAGAAGCAATTGATAATTACTCAAACATCTTAAAATATAAAACTTAAAAGAATTTGGAAGGAAAAAAGAGATAGAAACAGAAAATATAATTTTCTTTTTAAAGTCACATGATTTTTGTTAAAGGCACTAAATTTAAACTAAAAATATTTTTTTAGCTAATATACCATTCTTGGTCACATGAAGCTTAAAATAAAATTATGGAGCAGCTAGCAGTGATGGACTTAAATCAAATCTGTTGAAGAGAAATAAACTGAATGTGGTCATATTTATATATGCTATTTTTATTATTTCTTAAAATTTTACAGAACAATAGGAATGACATATATCAATCGCATATATTTTTATGCATTTCTTATATGTCTCATTATTTTGTTCATTTTAGTCTTTTTATTATCTTAATACTCTTCAGTAAAACTAAGGCCAAATAGTTTAATTTTTGTTGAATTCTTCACAGATTTATAATTCACAATCAGTAATTTTTATCAAAATTTTTAATTTCTGTAGGCATATAAGAAACATATAAAAGAAGAAAAAGAAGAAGATGTATTGCCTGGGACAGACATTAGCAATGATCAGTTATTCTTCATATCATATGCCCAGGTATATTATTCATTTTAAAAATAAATAGTGCTTAGTGATTTAATCACATTTCTTTTGTATTATTAAATACTGATTTAAAAATACTTATGAATTCTTTTACATTATGAAAATCTTATTATTCTTTTTCATTTGAATATATTTATGCTGTGCAAGGTACATTCAAATGAAGAAGTAGCGAACTACACAGCAGTTGTCAGAATTATTAAGATACAAATTTCGGTCAACAGCCAGCTTTTGGATTGTTTTCTTACAAGGTGTGTTTTGAAACTTTTGTCTTGGGATGATGTGGTTTGAAATGTTTCTCATGAGGTAAATGTAAAGAAGTTCAAAAAGGTAAATCACAATATTGGGGAGTGGAACAGCAGATACCATTTGTCAGTTTAGCTGTATGGAATATCATGCAGTGCAATGGGATAATTTCTTTATCCAGTGTCTCAATATTTTGTGTTCGACTGCTAGCTGTAAATATTTTAAGATTTCACAGTAGCCACTAGTATTGATGGTGAACTCTTAAATAAACAGTATGGATTTTTCACCAGGAAAGAATGTATATAGAAGCAAACATTGCTAAAGTTTGATTTGATTTTCTTTGGATGAGGTTGTGCACTTTAGTATCACCACATGATGCTTCTTTGTTTTGGGCTGAAAATGGTCTCATGACTTCTCTGTATTGCACTGAGTGAGATGCTGCCAATCTACCCCCCCCCCAAAAAAAGTTCCAGGATTACATATTTTAGAAGATGCTGAGAACAAATTTTCATGTAGCCAAATACTTCCTTTATGATCTTTAGAGTGCTGTCAGATTTTATTAAATAAGCTGTGGTGTTACTAATTCTCTGCATAGTCTATGTAGATTTTGCATTATCTTGCAATATTTGTTCTTTTACAAAACTGCTTAGGCTCTATTTGACTGCAGTTTTCATAATAAATAATAATGAGTCTTTTATAGATTTTTAGATGTCATTCGTTTTCAGCATTGTGGCTGTTTCTTTTTTTGTAGTCTTTCTAATTTGAAATGCCATTCTTTCCTTCAACTCTCTAATACCAAACAATGCAATATCTTTTGCACTTTTACTGCTTTTGTAATAGCATTATCTGCTTTAAAGCAGCGAGCCAGTGATGTTGGAAAGTGTAAATTTAGAAAAGTTTGAAATGTGCTCCCCTCTATTAAGAATAGAAGAAAGGTTTCTGGAACAAACTGTGCCCACAGATGAGAAAGGATAATACATTTTTTAGTGTTTGAAAGTGGAAAGATCATGATGTTTATTATTTTGTAGCCTTTCACAAGTGTGATTAATTACCCATTCCCTCCACGAGTTGAAAGCACACCAGCAACTGAATGTAAAATTGCTGAACACTGGTAGTTCAGTCTGAGGTTCGAATCCCATGAACGGGTAGGCTGCATGGGCATTTTCCCTATGTATAATGTGTATACGAGCCAGTTTCCTTTAGAAAGTCCTCCATGAAGGCATCCCTCCTCTTAGGCAGATAGCCCTCGAGGCTTTACCATAATAAAATAACCAAACCATGAGTTGAAAAAACACTTTGATATTTATTGTACAGATATGTGGCAATACCTTAACTCTTTAATGCTAATAAACGCAAGACAAACTGTGCTTTTAAGCATTCAGCATTTGTGAACAGACATGAAGTTTTATTGCTTCAAGATCATATATGGCAGTATCAACCATACAACAGATCAAGAATTTGAGATATACAAGTATAATTGAGCCTTCATATTGTCTTAACATTTTCTCAAACAGATTACAATTTTAAGCTGTTTTTGTGCAAGAAATACTTTGACTATGACACATCAGTTTATTGGGCAATAGAAGGCTGTATCACTTCTAAAGACACTGATATTTAGAAACATGGTCTAAGTGACTGTGCTAAATGTTGGTTATAACGCATTGATGCTACAGCAGATTAATTAAACAGGTTTTCTTATTCTTTTTATTTTCTTCTTTTTTAGTCATCATTAAAATTGGCCGTTTCATTTGTAGCGGCTTAATAGAAATTACTATATTACAATTCCTTTTATGAGTTTGCCCATTAATAATACCTGTTTGTGGTGCAAATAAAAAAGGGGCATGTGTATTTTATATTTAAGTATCTTAGTAATAAATGTAGATGTATTTTTATTGTTCATTATCTAAGCTGTGTCCCTAATTGTTGGGAAAGTATGTGCTATACACATATGTATACAGTATGCCTTAACCCTTTAACACTCACCATCACGCAGATATGCCGACATAAAACTAATCCCCAGCTGGCACGTTGGTGTCACATAGCATTTTCTCATTCACCCCTGCCTTTCATGCATTCATGTCAAGATTTTTTTTGGAATGTTTTAGAAGCTAATATTTTTTGCACAAGGTGGTGTTAAAATATGTTCATAGGACTTGAGATATGTGCAGATCTGACCTTCTACTCAAAATGGACAAAGATAGTACATGTGCTTAGATTTTGATTATATAAACACAAAGCAAAAGGCATGTTTTCGACTTGCAGGTTTCTTGACAGTTCTTTAAATGTGCACATGATTGCTATGGGTTATTGATGAATGTTATGGGAGTTCTTCTCCCTAGAACACCGGGTGCTTTTTTAAATGTGCAAGAGGTTTTGCGTATTGAGCTAGAGTATTGAGTGTTTTGGTGGTTTGCAATGTAAACCACCAAAACACTCAATTTCTAGTTTCTAATCGAGAATTATACCTTGAGTATGTGAAATGTTTTTGTTTTGAGTATTACAATGTCTAAGCATCAAAAACTTTTATGTAAATCTAAATTAGGTTACATCTGTAACTTGTTTGTTTATACTGGTAAAGAAACATTGTTTAAAGAAACTTCAGGATTATATGGGAAAAGAGTAGTTAAATCTCTACCTAAAGGACTTTCTAGTCAAAGGTACCATTTATATATTGATTTTTTCTTCATGTATCCATCATTGGCAGATGAACTCTTTAGACTTGCAACAAATAGTTGTGGTACTGTAATGAGGAGGAAAAAATGAATGACTGAAAATTTTCCACTGCCCAAAATAAAAGTTGGTAAGATGTTGGTTTTGCAGAAAAAGAATCTAAACTGCTTTCAAAGATAGATGGGAGGTGCTTTGTTCAAATGAAAGTTCTATAGTGTGACAGTGATGCTTCCTTTATTCACACTCCTGCAAAAATCCTCCAATGACGCCAATAAGCTGTTATGAATGCAAGTATCTTCACACAGGACTGTGTGTAGATCCCTCCTTTAAAGTTTCTCAGACTAAAAATGAATTTTAGTGAAATGTTTAATTGTCAAATGTATAACATCAAAAATCACTTAAGAGATAAGTAAATAATGGAAAAAATTAATGTGCAAAATAATATTTAAACAAAACAAAAAACTTAAGTATATAATGTATGTAAATAAATATATATAAAGAATATACACCTTACAGAACATCATTAAACAACACATATATATTGGATTTTAGTGAAAGTTTCCCACAACTGCAAATATTGCTTGTGCAAACAGTTCACATCGCCATGTTTAATCATATTTTGGTCAAATAATTTTTCACATTTGAAAAAAAGAGACATGCTTTAGAATACTGTGTTTGAAATTTGTAAAAAAATATTGCTACCATTAAGTACAAGGTGTGTGAAATGGAATTATCCCGCTAGATTAGAAACATCATTTACTTCCAATTCTGTTGCAAAATGTTAGCTACAGAATGTCATCATACCGTGTACAGCTTAAAGTACTAATGTTGTTTCATATGACACTGTGAAGGTTTGACACCAAAAGCTCAAAAACAAGGATTATGCCATTCAAGTTGCAGAGCATTCTGGCTAGCCTACTGATGTTGATGAAGCCTGCCTGTGAGTTAAATGTTAGTGCCATGTCCATTAGTGACACTGCATTGCATAAACTTATGTACAAGTTCAATCACTGGCTGCCGCATCAGCCGACTCAGGCAGATAAGAACAGATGTGTTTTGGCCTGCACTAAGCTGCTCGAATATCAATGCAAGAACAAAATTCTGGACCAGATCGTCATTTGTGGTGAAAAATGGATTTACTTCAACAACACAGGCTGAAAAGAGGGTTGGTTTGCGCCCAGTGAGCCCATTGGCAGCATCACAAACCACAATTTGACAAACAAAATGATTATGCTTTGTATCTGGTGTGATTATCATGGTATTATCCACAAAGAGTATCTGGAAAAAGGTAAAACCCTTAAGTATACAGCAAGATGCTAGTCAGTGTATTTGTTATCAAGGAAAAAAGTTGGAAGTGAGTTATGGCACAAAAAGGTAATGTTCCATCAAGATAATGGAAGACCATATGTGTCTGCACTCACCGGATAGACTTTGTAGAGACTCAAATGGGATCTTTTGCCACACCAACGATATAGCCCCGACATCTCTCCTTTGGACTCTTCCCTTTTTTTCACACCTGCAGCTACATCTTGCTGGTGCTACTTCCATTTTGCAGAGGACGTCTAAAATGAGGTTGATCTGTTTTTGGACACCTCAGCCACCAAGTTTCTTTTAAAAAAATACCAAAACATTGGCAGAAAATCATAGATTTGGGTGGTGATTACGACCCACACTAAATGTACTGCTTTTATTTTTTTTTTCCTGACTGTATTACGAATGTTTTTTAACAAAAAGCTTTCATTACAACCAGATATTTCCATAATTTTGTGGATTTAGGATTTAGTAGCAGAAAACTTTCCGGCTCTGAAGAGACACTAGCGAAAGAAACAGCTGGCCCAGTGGTACATGTGTATTTGCAGTTTTTGTTTCAAAAAGGTTAAACTTTGCTTTATCAAGGACATTTTTTCCATCTGTGTTCATCTTTCTACATGTTAACCTTTATGTTGCTGAATTTGTTTATACTTCTCATTTGTTATCAGAAATTTCTCAATAAGGACAATTTAAATAAGAGACAAAATTATATGAGTTTAAATAACTGCAACCATTAAGCACAAAAATAAGTACCATAATTTAAAGCAAAAGCTGAGTGCTGATTAATTTTTACAAAGTGAAATAAGTTTTAAAAAATTGCAGCTACAGCATTATGTATGAAGTGTAATGATTGCCTTTCAACACAGTACAGTTCATAAAAATAAGCTTTTTCTAAAAACATGACATTATGTATTTAATCAAGTCATTAAAATTATGGAAAAAGTTTTATATGTTAGTTTAAGATTGTATTCATATATGATTTTATACATAAAGCATTTTCATTCTAGTCTTTGTGCCAAATCATAAAAGCAGAGAAACTGAAGTCCACAAAAGAATGTAGCACACGTCTACCAGAAGAACTGAGGTAATTTTAAAGACATTCTCCTTTATATTGGCTTTAGACTTCTTTATCAATTGATTTTAGAGAGTTAATGAAAATTGTATTGTAATGAATCATTCTGTCTTTTAGGGTACTAAGCACTTTGCAGCAGCTTCCAGAATTTTCTAGAGCATTTTCATGTTCTAAAGCATCTGTGATGAATTCCCGTCAGAGTTGTAACATATGGTGAAAGTTTTATATGAACATTTGTTTTGTGAAGTGTTTTTTTATCGTCTTTCTTTTCGTGTCTTTGATTTATAATCAACATATTTTTATGAAGCCCTCCAGTTAAATTATTTTTATATAGATATTGCATTTTCAATCATTGCCATTTTAAAATTATGTATTTTAGCATTTTATGTCCTTATTATCTGCTTATACATAATTGTATGCATCACGAATAAAAAAGTTTCTAAGTATACCTAAATTTCTGTTTGTATAGTGTCTTACTTGATCTGGTAATCTTACTTTAATCCTAAAATCCTAACAGACATGAAGCAAGTTATTGCTATGTCTGAAACAAAGGTTCTAAAAACAACCTTTTTATTTGAACAGAATGCTAAACATAAAAGCACAGCTTAGCACTAAGCAATGACTACAGCTCATGGTGATGCGATAAATGTTGAAGTGGTCAAAGATTACACTATTATTAAGTTAGAAGCTGGCTTAATAAATTTACTGGCACAGAGAGACTGCAAAGACAAATAATTACAACCACAGAGCTGGCTGGAACTAATCCATACCGCACAAATGTCAGAAACTGTCTAAAATCCTAAAACCTCAGCTTAAGTAACAACTAATTTGTGTTCTGGTGAGGAATATGAAAAGGAGAAATTATAGTACACATCCAAATCATACCAACTGGTTAGTTTTTAAAATAATAGTCTTGCATGTCCATGACCTTGTTAAGTTTATTTTCAATACTCGATATTTTGAATATTAAGAGGAGAAAAATTTATAGCAAGTATTCTTATTTGGGAATTTTTTAGATAATTTGCCATGCATGAGGTAAAGGAGTGATAAATCTCACATTTACAAACATTCATTCATCTCACATTATGCAACTAAGAATTATTTAAAAAACTTTTTTGGCACTAAGGTAAATATCACATAAGTGCAGATGATTTTAATAACATATACTAAGACAATGTGACTAACCACAGTGGGAATAATTTTATGATATGGGAATATAATTCATCAGTAGATGCTTTTCAATAATTCATAAACTTTTCGTGTATAGTAAAGAATTAAAAATACAATAATTAGTGGTTTCATAATTTTTCATTATTTTCATAATTTTTCATAAAAAATTATGAAATTAAACATTAATTAATTTTTTCCAACTATAGATATATTCTTATGGCTTGCAATTTTTTTAAGCTAAAAAAATAACCTCTTTCAGAGCTTTTCTTCAATCAGCCTTGTATAAAATAAGAAAAGTATTAAAATAGATGCAGTGGGAGTTTTAAAAACTTTTAAAACTGAAATAAAATTTATGCATTAAATAAGATACAAAGTGATGATATTTAGTAATTTTAGGAAATAACCAAGTAATAAAATACAAAAGATTGTCATTTATGAATGGATTAAACATAATTTTATAAATTATATATTAAATGATTTTACTTAATTTAAATAATTTTATTCATACTTTTATCATATAGTAGAGTTTATTATATTCAAATTTGTGAAGTGCAATATTTAAATTCACAAACGGAAAAGAGATGTTTATGCCTGAAATGTAGCATTTTGCTCCTGTAAGGGGCAACTGTTCGAGACATGCCATTAGATTTAGATTTGAAGGCATACATTTATGGCTGTTGTATGTTCACGGTACTAAAATCTAAGAAACTGAGTCCTTTGAAGAGGTAAGTGGTAAGGAAGGATTCTTGAAATCCCTTAGGCACCCATCTTAAAAATTAGTTGCCGTGCATTTCCTAAATTAAATGATTCAATACAACTGAGGGGAGTAACTATGAAATGTTAATTTTAAAAATTTTATACTGTGTTTAAAGTAAAAAAAATTCAATAAATAAATATGAATAATATTTACATAATAGTAAAGATAAAATGATCATTTGTCATAACAATGATTTATTTACATTAATTATAAAATGCTTTTAGTTGGACATGAAAATTACAAATTCTACCCATGCATTTGTTTCTCATCTGAGCAGTTTCCAATTCCTGGATTTCTATCATCAAAACATCAGCTTCATTTCTCTTTACCTGCAATAAATTTATTCAGTTTAGAAATTTGGATAACCAACACTTACACATTTCTCCAGTAGGCATTTTTATATTTTTGCTATCAATTAGAACTTTAGAATGAGCAATTTCTGAAATTTCTCAAATTGATATTCTTTACTGATGTATTTCAAAAGGCCATTCATTAAAACTTAAATTTCTAGATAAGGCCTTTAAATTCTTCTCTTATGGAGATAAAAAAAGGGAGATGGAACTTCAGGTGACAAGATGCCGTACATTGGGTACATGATAAGAAATTAGTCCTTTCCCAGTCTAATGTATTAGATCATTGGTGTCTAAAGTGTGGTGTCTTTAAAATGCAGCCCAAATGCAAATTATGAAAGTATTTAAATTTGTACATTTTTGTTTAAAAAATAAATGTTTGAATTTGATTCATATATAATCGATTCGTTGGCATTTATTTTAAAATAAAAATTTAAATAAAAACATCTTAGTATGTCATGATGTATTAACTGCAAAGTTACATTCAACTGAAAGAAAAATTTGAAAATGTTTCTTTACTGGAGTTTTATAGATTACCTACCTACCCCATGATAAATATCCTAATTTTCACAATCATGCTTTATTAACACATTAAGGGCGGGAGTCGTAGTACTACGATTTATCTCGACTGTAGCTTAAAGGTGGGAGTCGTAGTAATACGATTTATCTCGACTGTAGCTAGCGCATGGATTGTGCAATGTGAAACCACATTGCACAGTCCATGTGCCACTTTTACATTTGTATTTAGTATGTTTTGTGGTTTGAAGCTGTTCGTTTGTTCAGATTCTACTTACAGTAAATTTTGAAATCCTTCAATATGGTTTCACGTGAAAATAAAGATATATATGCACACGATTTGATGGACATTGAAGAGCCACACCCTGGTACATTGAACTCGGCACCACGGACTCCACAATATAAAATTGATCCGCCTGGACGTCTTTCGCTAGACATCGAAAGGCACAAATTAATTCGGATAGAAAATAAAGACAAAAAGCTATATGCCCAACGAAACTGCGTAGTTTGTGCGGCACATAAAAAAAGAAAGTTGACTTGCTTCAAATGAGAGTTTTTCAATGCACCTCTTCACAGTGGCGAGTGTTATCAGCATTATCACACTCATAAAAAATACTAGATTCTTCTCATGAATATCTACTTTAAAACATTTTTTGTAATTAGTATTTAGTTCTTTTTTAATATTTCTTGTAGTTTTAAGAGTTTAAATAAACTTTTTTAAATCTAAATTTCTTTATGATTACACAAAATATCGCCCGCTCTAGGACGAAAAACGAGGTGAAGCAATCGCCGCGTTACCTAGCATACTTTCGTCAAGATCCCCCGCCTTTAATGTGTTAATGTCTTCAGCTTTTGGCAGTGCCTATATTTGTGAACAATTATTTTCAAGAATGAAGCATACAAAAAACAAAAATAGGACAAAGATCACTGACAAACATCTTGAAAATGCATTAAGAATTGCAACCTTGTCTATTGAACCCGATATTGATCTGCTTGTTCAACAAAAGCAAATTCATTCATCTCATTAATTTTAATTTTTTCTTACAAATTAATAATAAATACGTATCTATACATATCTAATTCAAATTAAAAAGAAATGATTTGATTTTAATAAAACAACATAGAGCTAATTTTTTTTTTCAATTTGTTAAAAAAATACTGTATGTGTAGGCCCGCAAATTTTTTTTCTTTGCAATGCAGCCCTCAAATGGTCATAGTTTAGACACTCATGCATTAGATAGTAAATAGACAAAAATAAAATAGCATGTTCTATAAAAACATAAAGACCTTTGGAAATCTATTGGTCTTTAAGAAGTATTTATAAAGAAAAAGATGAAGTCTATATTTCTTGGAATCTTCTCCCAAAGTAGAAAACAGTTGCAAGGATTTCAACATTAAGCTATAAGATCTCTGAGCAATTTTGAATATCAGGCATTCAAGTTACTTTTTTTGAAAATATTGGGTTTTAACGAAAGTTTCCCACCATCTCAAATATTATTCGCTCAAACACTCTGTTTTGGTGGTGTTTAATCATATGTTGTCAAACAATTCTTGGCATTTGTAAGAGAAAGACTTACTTTAGAACACTGTGCGGCGAAATTCATAAAAAAATGTCATTAAGTGCAAGGTGTCTGAAATGGAACTACCACGCCACCAGATTAGAACCATTTACTTCTAGTCCTTTTTCAAAGAGTCAGCTACATAATGTCACCAAATCATGTGTACAGCTTTAGGTACTAATGTTATATCATATGATACTGTGAAGATTTGATACTAAAAGTTCAAAAACAAGGGCTATGACATTAAAGAAACAGAGCACTCTGGCCAGCCTGATGTTGATGAGGGCTGCCTGCGAGAACTTGTGGAAGAAGATTAGTATGCAACACCTGAGAGGTTGTTCAGGAGTTTGACATTAGTGCCATGTCCATTAGTTGCACTATGCATTGCATGAACTTGACATACAAGTTCAATCGCCGGGTGCCGCCTGTGCTGGCTCAAGCAGATGAGAACAGACGTGCGTTCAGGCCTGCACTTATCTACTCAAATATCAAAACAAGGATAAAATTCTGGAATGGATCATCACTTGTGATAAAAAGTGGATTTATTTCAACTAAACATGCTGAAAAGAATTGAAGGTTATCCAGTGGATGTTTACCATTTCTCTGCCACCAAGGGATATACTGGCACAATTCTACATAACATGTTCTCAACTTCCTACTGGCATCTTTTTTCAGTTCTTTGACTATAACAGATTCATTGGCAACATACATGGTACCTCTACCACATTTGTTGTTATAATGTAATTTCTTGAGCTGGCTGACATGTCAAAACAGCCACAGCTGTGATTATTGTCCAACTGTGATTGTTGTCCTTAATGTAACCCCCCACAAATATATTAGTAAGGATAATTTCAAAAAGAAGAGATTTCTGCGAACCCCAAACCAAAAAATATTTAGAGATTTATCATAAAAATATAAATTATGTAACATCACAAAGTGTAAAATACTAATACATAATAATGTAAAAATATTGGATATAGTAGCTAGCAATGATATCAGTACATATTACTTTTTAATTATATATATTCTTTCTTCCATCAAAAACTGTACAATTTGCATAATTTTTCCATTGCCACTTTTAGTTTATAAAATTTATAAAAAAGTGGGGAGAATGCACATGTAAATATAGTATTTGTACAATAAATCAAATTTTATTTTACTTAATTTTATAGTAATAATGAAATTTGCAAATTGCCATTTTCTAATGTGAGGTGTATGCATGTATGTATGGAGGTAATAAAAATTGAAATGTTTTAAAATATATTATTAGTTCTTTTCTTTTTTTTCTCTCAGGTAGTGTATGAAGGCCACATATTTAAGTATTCAAATAATTCCAGGAAGATAGTTTAAAATAGTCACAATATTTAGATCTGTTTCATAATGTAATGCTCTTTATATCACTATGATATTAGCAGATAGTTACAGAATTTATATTAATCTATGATCATTATTTTAAATCTAAAAAAAAATATATATATATGTAATGTTTTCAGTTATTCCAACACATCGTGGGCGAATGGTGAGGCTATTCCATTGCACGTTCTGGCAGATGGTTGACGAAGCTGGGATGATTGAAGCACGGAGAAAAATGACGACTCAGGACTTATCACTTTTAACAGCAAGCATATCTTTATTTTAATTTAGAACAGATGACTTTTTCCAGATGAGGTTAATCAAATAACTTATCCAGTAATTGAACTATTAGATATGACTGACTTTAAACTTTAATACGTCATAACATTCTAACAAAGAAAGAGGAGCATAGTGGAAGCGTTAGCAGAACGAAGGTAAGAAGGCATCTGTCTAGAACTTATGACGCAGCATTTATATGAAAGGTTATGTAACAGAGTAGCTTCTAGAAAAATGTAGAAAAACTTATGACGCAGCATTTATATGAGGAGGTTATGTAATAGGCGCGAATGTTCTAGAAGGTAATGGTCTAAGGGGAGATGCTGAATTGCAGAAAATTAATTAAACGTTGCTGGTTCGCAAAGAGCAAAGCCATTGTATTTTTTTTATATTTTACATCTTCCACCCACCCCCCCCCCCCCCGTCAAAAAAAAAAAAAAAAGGCTGGGGTGAGAAAAGCATTAGTACAGGAGTTAAGCAAAAGTCTGAGAAAAGACATGAAAACATCCAGAACATAACGTACAAGCTTTAACTATGGCCTATCATAGTTCATGACTTTCTCATATAAAATTTTGACTTTATAGCATATGAAACTTGAATATTAAAACTATGAGTTATAAATAAATATACAATATATGAATAATTTTATAACTATAACATAATAAATATGGAATACTGATAAATAAATAAGTTATAATTACAAAAGTCCTCAATTTTGTTAAAAATGTCCATTTTGTTTTTTGAAAGTCCTTTTCATAAAAAGAGTTCGAATAGAATGAAAATAAAATCTCTAAATGTCAGATAGTCCACAAATATGATGCATGTTGATAGTTCACAAATATGATGCATTTCTTTCGCTGAATATGTTTGCATAATAATAAGTTTTGATTAGAAAATATTTTAAATTTTTCTTCCTTCAGATAAAACTTAGAAAAGAAATAGATTATACAATTTATGAATAATATATTATGTGCATTTTTTCCTTTCATCGTAGGCAATTAAAGATTGACATATTTTACACTTCAGTACAAAATATTATAATTATTAAAAAAAAAACAATTCAATATAAATAGTACAATTATACACTAGACCATAAACACTTTGCCTTTAAAACTATGGCATGTCCTCACCAATAGATCAGCGTGATTACTTGCTGATGGTTGGGGGGTGCTAGGTACAAATATCGAAAAACCTCCATTGCCTAATACAAGGTAACTGGTTTTTGGCATTGTACATTACCTCAAAGTGGTTTTAGAAAAATAAAAGATCATATAA